TTTTGTTATCAGTAAATTAAAAGTAAACTAAATATTATTAATACTATATACTATATACGCAAGTAAACAGTTTCACAGTATTTCTGAAGACCCTCTTTTATATCGGACATACTTTTTGTCAATCTAATGCGTATATATTACGCACAGCTTTTAGTACATGCCCGCACAGTAGGTTTGGTGTTTTCATGATACGAAGAGGATCCCTGTTAAATTAGTGTAATAATTCATTACATCTATTCAATTGGTATCATTAATACATGTCATATCCGCGTAAAAAAATAACATAAAGCACAAAATTTCAATATTAAAACTTTTCCGCAGTTATGATTATACAACTCCTCATGATCATTATGTTTATATTCTCTTATCCCTAATCATATCCGATGAATGTTCATTCATAATAGCGTTTTGAATCCATTCTATTCGAACCATTGATATGGTCAAAATTTAAGATATGACGTACTGTTTAGTCTTTCATCCCAAAATACGATGGATTGTGAATTAAGGAAAGGGATTTACATCTCAAAGTCGAACTGCTCGATGTAACTGACAATTGTTTTCTTACACTAATATCTAATACTCAACTCATATTTAGGTTGATGAAGTATTCAACATCTTATCAACTGAGCCAGTTCTGTCGGTACAGATCATCACCACAGATCACGTAAAAGACGCATGCAGAACATAGAACGACATTTTGCATTGCAGCATGAAAGCTAAGACTACAAAGATTATTACAAAAATTATATTACGTTTGAAGTTATTGACACTCTCGGAACACATGCTATAAGTGAATTTCCACATCCGATGTGATATGACTGTCTAACTTCCAATCAGTTAACTATCATTTACTGACATTGATTTAATTTTATCTTGTGTTGCCAGTTTATCTTTCTTGGTTATTCGTGACACTGTCAATCCAGAGCATATCAGTAACACAGCCATTTGCAGGACTTTTGGCAAAGTGTACCAGCCTGAGACAGAACGAATATGCATTCCTCCTGCGTGGACCGTGTTTGTGTATGCTGTCTTAATTTGCAGCTTATCATTGTGTCTATAAAAACACCAAGATTGGAACAAAATTTAGCTGATTTAAAGATTTTGGGGTTTCAAAAAATCATCAAGGATACCATGCTTATGATTAGGTAAGCCAGGCGCGCGTTTCGTCTACATAAGTCTCATTAGTCGCGACTGACTATTGTGGTCTTTTTACCAGTTTGTAGATCTTGTCTTGCTGTTTATTGTTTTGCGCTATTAAAAGCTTTTCCCTATCTATTAAAAATGTCAGGATGAAAGGCAGAGAAAAAAAAAACAACCAATAGAAATCATCAGTTAGGGGTTACATCCCCTATAGTTATATTTGTCTTGCTGCTCATTTTGCGATTAAGTCTGTATCTTTATTAAAAAATAAATAATAGATAACAATGAAAACAATTGGTATTTATTTTCATTTAAAGGCGACTATAACTACTGTATGTAGTCGTTTGACAATTTTTGGTCAAATTGACGATAGGTATATTCTAAACATTTCTACCACTGTCAGATTTTCTTTATCCATAACATTCCTAAAAATGATAAATAAAATTGAGAGTGGTAACGGAAAATGCGTCAAAGATACAACAACCCAACCAAAACGCAGAAAACAGCAAAAGGCCACCAATGGGTCTTCAACACAATGAGAAAATCCCGCACCCGGAGGCGGGCATCAGCTGGCCCCTAAACTATAATGAATACTAGTTCAGCAAAATGGACGTCACACTAAACTTCGAAACATATATATGAACTAAAATTAGAAAAACCTACAAGACTAACAAAGGCCAAAGGTTCCTTACTTGGGAAAGGCGCAAAGAGATCTCAACCCTGCCTTATACCTGTAGTCAATGTGGCATGAACAAACACACAGCAATACGTACAGTAAAATTCAGTTCAAAAGAAGTCTGAGTCCGATGTTAGAATAGGTAACAAAAGAAGCTAAGCAAAATGACAATAATCAACATAAATTAACAAAGGACTACTAGCAGCCAGCTCCAGACCTCAATTAAACAGATTGAAAGATTATGTCTTCATCATATGAAAATCAAGTACAATCCCTCCCGCTAAGGGTTTAGTTTCATACCATCATAAAATATACGCGAAGAACATAACCCGTATCATGCCAACTACTGGTTTTAGAATAAATGTGTTTATTTCCGATGCAAGGACCCTATGAGTGAATCAATATTAATTCTAAAAAATGCCATCTTTAATGACCTGACAATAGTATCGTATCTATATCACTTCTGAATAAGTCTGTTTAAAGGTTTGGTTAGCTTTTGAGGTGAATGACGTCATTTTTGTGCTTTGTATAGAATATTTCCATCAAGTTCTTCCAACGAATCTTTGAAACTCCAAAAGCAATTTATTTCACTATTTTCAAAGGCCTAACTTGAAATTTATAACCACGTTTTTGATTGTACCAAGTGTACTAGTGAGTAGAATAGACAGTTTAGTGGTGGAACAACGGCTTGAAGATGAAATAAATCTATATTCGTAAGGTGTTTTGTGCAACTTCGGAAGCCAGTACATAGTTAGAACTTTCATGTTATTCAGTTCTGCTTGTAAATAAAGGCAACAGTAGTATACCGCTGTTCGAAACTCATAAATCGATAGAGATAAAAACAAATCCGGGTTACAAACTAAAACTGAGAGAAACGCATCAAATATAAGAGAACAACGACACAACAAAAACACAACATTAAAACGTAACACATACAGAAACGAACTATAATATAACAATGGCCATTTTCCTGACTTGGTACAGGACATTTTAAGATAAAATGGTGGGTTGAACCTGGTTTTGTGGCATGTCAAGAGGTAGCTAAAAGTTTATGTTTGTTACATATATCATTTTCCGAAATTGAGTCAGTTGGAGTGTTGGTGAATTGGTGATTTCCTTTTGCATAAACTCAATATAAAATTTACGTCAAACAACAATGATATTATTGGCAGCCTTATCAGCCGGGACAAAAACAAATTCTTTGGCGAGTTATTTTAGCTTATGTTTTGCACGAGAAATAGGGCTATTGTAGTTGTTGTTAGATAAGATAAGATGTTCTTTAAAATGTTTAATACGAATATCAACTATGTCCGTTACTGAATTAAAAAGGGAATCTAAGGATATTTTATCAGTTTTTTCTCGTTTTATCCATTTCATACAATAAGTACGGAGTGAGTCGTCGATGATGTTACGACACTCATTCCAATTGATAATTGACGGAGGACGATATTTAGGTTCTTTGCTAGGATTGATTTCAACCCTCGGTCCTGGACAATGTTAAGATCTCCTGTTATAACATGGGAACTGGGGACATAAATGTATTTGAATTTTTGCAATTTCATGACGTAGGTGTATTGTCACTGATATTACCATCTTTACACACCTCGCTATAAGTAAACAGATAAGTCCAGATCAATTTTTTGTAGACATAACATAATCAAAATAACCAGGAATTTGTTCTTTTACGAAATGATCATTAAGAATACCGGCAATATTTACAAAATCAAAGCCTTTATTGACATATTTGATTTTGATGAAATGTTTTTTTATGATCTACAGGGCGATCAATTTTCGGAAACTATAATTTGGACGATGTCATACTTAGGACTACAATATGGAATTGTGTTGAAATTCTCCAAAGTTTGATGTAATTTATTAACAGGTGAAGAACAGAGCTTGGTTAACAGATAATGCCTGCCGTTGTTTTTTTAAATAGTAATTCGGTCCGAAATATTTGTATTGTTAGTACGAAATTTTCTCTTCTGCGATTTATTCTACGTCCATGAGAACGGTTTTTACGAACAGTTTTAGAAAATATACCCAAAATATTAACAGAATCGGTTCTTGATATAATACCAATTCCCATGATATTATCATTAAGAGTGAGAGGATATAGACTGTCTGTAATTCTTAAATCCAATTTAATTCAATTATTTCCCGTGGTCGTACAAAGTTTGAATGATATTCACCAGGTTGCTTATTCACTACTTCTAAAGGTTGAACTGTTAAATATTTAGTAATATGGTTGTGCTTCTTCAGGTGTTGATGAATGATACTTGTAAATGTATGGGTCTTCTAAAACGATAAAGGTGTTATTGCTTGCGTTTAGATAGCGTCCGGTTTCACCTATGTACTGAATACCACATTTCAGTTTCTTTCATGTAAGTAAATAGATAATTCTGTTAGTTTTTCAATTTATATCAGTTTCAAAATTAAAGGAAAATGTGCGACCATTTAACGTGCACCTGACCGTATTGTTGGTGGAGAGACGGGGACATGTAAGTCATGTTTTGGCATGACACTTATCGATAGTTGGTAACAACGATTTTTATTATTAAAAATGTTTGTGATTGTAGTATTTTTAGATAAGCGATTTTGAAGATTGAGACGTATAGATACCCTTTGAACGAGTTTGGTATAAAGTATTTTTCTATTTCTGAGTTTCATTTTGTTATCCGCATTTCCAATTTAAAGGAGCAAACACTGGTGTGCAGAATATGAACCAGCACATACATGAAACAATACATGTACTTGCATTTACCTCTATTTTCTATTCTAGCCATGTTGCTTGACAGGCGGCGTGAAAGTCAGACACATTTTTCAATAAAGAAACCCCTAAGATGATTGTTGCCAAGTTTGGTTCCAATTGGCTGAGAATTTTCAGAGGACAAAATAAATGTGAAAAATTAACAGGTGATGGATGCCAAGTGATGGCATTAGCTCAAATTTGCCTTATTGGGCCAGGTGAGATAAAAAGTAAAAAAATAAATAGAAAATCTTCGTTTTCCTCGTTTGAATTGTGTCAAATTTTGTCATGATAAGAGGAACAATCGTAAAGGTTACGTTAATAGAAAAAAAAATTATACTTTAGATAGTTGTCTTCAAAATATTCAAAGTTATCCCAAATTGTGTGTACAAGGCGTTTACGTTAACTGGTGTACTGGGGAACATATCGTAAATGAATTGTTTGACCCCGTAGTTCCGAAATAATGGGTATATACCTAAATTTTATTTCGTACAATAATTGATCAAGTAATCAAACTTGTCCATAGCTTTTGGCAGGTCATTCCATTCATTTTGTGTGTTGGAAATTGTTTCCTGAAAGAAAAAAAATATAAAAAATTCCAGTCTTAAAATAATTTACAACCCTAAATTATCTTCATCAAGCAAACATCAAACCATGGACATTATACATACCATAAAAACGCCTTATTTTCTTGCCAGATAACATCGACAAATAAGGTCGATATTATAGCGAGTACATCTATTGTACATAAGGGTATCAAACTGAGAAGTCAATGTGTTAGGTTATTATTTTCACGTACATATGTACAGATTCTCAACTGATAACTTTTGAAAATTTTAAAGGAACTATGGTTGCAAATCAATGAGGCAAACATAATTTCAACTAATGACTTTTCTATATATTACTCATTTTGTTATGTATGCTTTTATTTCTCTTTGACTGACATGACTTATTGCACTAAGCTTTTCTATTGATAATCTATATGAAATGTACCTCGATTGCGATCTAAAAAAAACACTCCACCATATATCTCATGTGCCTGTCCCAAGTCAGGAATCTGATCAATGTTTTTTTTAATTATATTTTAATATATTTTGTCATTTTAAACATTTTGTGTTCGTGGCAGATCTTTGAAAGCCACTGTTAAATTCATCCAACTCAGTAGAATTACCTTTTGATTTGTATGCTTTTTGTTTTTATTACATATAAACTTTGATGTTCTTAACTGACAACGCCATGACAAAAATACTAAAAACAATCAAAAGACAAACAACGGTACACAAAGCACAACATGGAAACTAAACACGGTGCAACTCATACCCCACCAAAAAATCGGGGGTTTTCTCAGGTGTTCCATTAGTGTAAGCAGATCTTGATGCACATATGGCACCCATTAATTATTCAACACCGTTCAATGGAAGACTGAGAAAAATATGTTATAGTTCAATTTTGTAAGACACTGACAGGGAGTATGAGTTCATATCCCCTGCTAAACCCAAATTACAATTATATAACGAAAGTGTCCTTTCTCAACCTAAATAACCAATCGTTTATGTCCTGATCGGATATGGGTTTATTTTCCTTGTCGACGGACCCATTTAAAATTGTTTGATTACCCTGTATATTAAGTGTTAACATATTTTATTACTCAAATTCAAGTAAGATAATAAACACAATTTGGCATAACCATATTACAATTAAATAATTAATAGGATACGGAAACAAGCTGTTAACTTATATTAGTCCGTTTTCCCAACACAAATACAAAAAAATCATATGTGTTATACTCAAGAGGTAGAATGTATAGGAATGAGATAATGTTACATTAAATAAATAACAAACAATACACATAATAATATTGTGAACATAAGAAGAGGAAAGAAAATAAGAAATACAATAGTGAAGGGCATGTTTCTGAACGGACAGAAGTATTTTAGATATTATTATACGTCACTGTCTAATTGAATAAATGTATTGGCTAATAAAAGTTCACGTGGTGTGAATTAATTCGGATATTCTCGTCCAGATCGGTAGGGCTGATAAATAACCTCAACAAATTGTACCGTCCGGTGGATCAACCAATTATTCACCGCCGGCGAGACCAAATTGAATGCCAAAATTTGTTCGGTCCTATAAAATGACATTACTCGACATGACAAATCTATCTGACCGTATCTCGGCCTATTGCATTGAAGGATGACGGAGGGGAGCATATGCTGCATGCATTTTTGGCTCGTTGAAAACACATGCTTAATTGAAAAAGATGCTATTCAAAAATTAGCACAATCTGATATTTCAATTCTTTACATATTTTGTTATCAAATTCGGTATATTTTATTGACAACATCCTTTTACGAAATTAATTAATGCAGTTACCGGTAATCAAATGTTTCGATTATTACATGGTCATTTCACTTGACACATATATTCATTCATCAAAGGGTGAATTCTTAAAGCGACTAAATCAAAATTAAGTTTGAAAAAATAAAATTATGGAATCTGCAGCGAGATGATATTTTCATTTTTGATTTAAAGTTTTAAGATGAAAACAAAAGTTTCAAAAACGCCGGAATGTAAAAGTGTACTTGACTTGCTTTTTTTTTAATATACTTCTATAATTCATTTCAAGATACTTTTGTCAGAGGTAGAAATTCAGATCACTGAAGCATCTATCTAAATTATTTTGTCACCTTTCCGTAGAATTTGATAAAATGGAATTTATGTGGACGCATCTTCAAGAAAAAATAGGATTACACTTAACTAAATCAGTTACTTTTTAATGTTGTCTTTAATTATAATGAAGCATAGATTCTAGGAACAGTCTGTTCAAACGTTTGCGTAATTTAACGTCATTGCTCACACATTATTTTTATGAAATGTTTGGCGTTTAACTTATGCAAATACGTATGAAAAACGAACATGTTCGGAATATTTTATTGAAGTTTTGTTAAGTAGGATGATCATAATAGTTTTATGACCAATTTATGATAACAAGGGGATATAGTATTTATTGGTCTGCGGGTCCGTTCGTTCTTCCGTCCCGTTCAAACTATAAAACGTTTAAAATTATATATCCAATTAGAGTTTGACACGTTTTTAATGGTTCCCTGAACATCGAAATGTAATAATGTGACGGGGCACGGTGTCTTAAGGCCACATATTCTTGTTGCAAATGTTTTGATTAATAAATGTACATGTATATGTATCTTCCATAGTCATAACCGTCTCTTCGGTGTTGTGGTAGCGTGGTCACCCCAATGCTAACCGAGAAATTAAAAATATGGCCACTATTGGTCTTTTTCCGACCGTCAGTAACACCATTGCCAAAGTGGGGCGTCTGTTTGTCTTTGCGAAATATTCAAGAACGCAGTCACGCCCGGTCAAAGTGGGACGTTAAATCCGATGCCTCTTGTAGAGAAAAATGCCACGCTCTCTGAATGTTAAATATGCATGAAATATTTGCCACATGACGTAAGCAACCAACTATCAATCATTCGACAGTAGCGTAACCTGAATTTTAATTCTAGTGAGGCAAATGATTTGAATCTTGGCAGTCAAAGCCTGGTTAAAAGACGTCAATTATAACGTTTCATTGTGATCTGAATCGCAAAATAGTTTTCAGCATTTACAAATACAAAAAAAATCATATATTTTAACAGGTTTGATTGATTGATTGATTGGTTGTTGTTGCCGGACATTAAGAGACAAAAACTGCATGCATATTCAGGGCAAGTAAAACAAAATAATCTAAAAAAATATGTAGACTGGGTCGACCAGTATAACAGAATGAATTTCAATTGTACCTGGAAAAGGAGAACATGTTACGTAGGGACAGACATTTTGTCTTGCAATAGGCCCCTAGTGGATCCGTTGTTCTGTACCGTGAAAGAGTTTATGTACGCACCTACACTAGATTTGATTTAATGTCCCCATTCCTACTGGACGTGGCTGTGTATTAATATATCCCGGACAACTAAATGGACAACCCTTTTAAGCATCTTTTACTGTTGATTAGAATCTTGTTTAGAGTACAAACTTGTACATTCCGCAACGCTAAGGAACCAACCCTCTGGGTAGGGGGGGGGGGGGGGGTAGTTGACCGTACTCTTGATAGGTCACACATAGGCACAAATATCCTGTCTATGAAAAATCCAGATTTGTGCAATTTTATCATGAAATAATTATACTTCTAGTGCGAATTAAATCAATACAATTCAATAAAACTGCTGGTTTAAAGTTTAATTCTCAGTATTCAGTTCCAAACAGGTCCTGATGAAAACAAAAATAACTGACAGAATTATGTGTATGACCTCCTTTGACAAGCTTTTGTACAGATTTAGGGATATTCAAGTTTAAGATCCACTATGTCTTTTAAATGTATACGTTTAGCTTTTGTCAAAATGCATGGAATATAATAACTAGGTGAACTATGAAGTCTTGCACAAATAAATTAAGGTAGGTAATATTAGAAAGACGACTACATACAATGTAGGAATACCAAGTGTCTGTTGTAAACTACGTCTACCTAAAGTAACAAGTTGTTGTCAAGACAAAAATCAAGCATCATGTCAGTTTCACAGTTATGACCTATTGTTTAAATCAGTTTTTTATAAAGTATACTTTGTCTGTTCCTTATAAACGATATTTGCATCTACCTTGTTAATTTTATGAGAGAACGTTTCATGTATATTTTTGCAAGACGTAAATAATAATGAGAAATGAGTGAGTAAAGAGTAAATCAGTCATCGTCTGTTCTCTATACTATGAAATACACGATATATATTTTCTCTCTTGATAAACAAATTGGTGAGGCAGTTGCCTCATTGCGTATAAGGAATCTACTGATCGAGTGCTGGAGAACTTGGGCTAGATCCTCGTCCGGTTCAAATCGAAGATTTGTTGCTTCTCTGCCAAGCACGAACAATTTGTGAGTAAGAGCAAACATTGGTCGGTCCGAAGTCAGAATCATGTGTCCGGGTAGGGTGACATGTCTTCCTGTGGTATAATACAAAGTCGGGTCCATATTCATCTTCTCGTCCTTAATATGCATATGCAAAATACATAAGCAACGAACACTTATATATATATATGGCCCTACATCCTGTAAATACTCATATTTTAGTGTTGCGCAAAGTCGTCATTTTCTATACTACATTGGGAATAAAACATCGAAAAGAAAATAATAGCCTGCTGTTTTGACTGCATAGCGCACCCAAAGGCGTATTTACGGGTGAGGGACATGGTCCACTTCTAACGTTGCCTACTTCCCCCTTTCAAAGTCCTGGATCAGCATCTGTCATCGAATTCTTATCCTCTTATATTGTTCTATGCTTCTTACCTAACACATTCCCGTTAATGAGTTATGCAGTAAAACAAATTCGTTGGCCTTATGAATTATTTATCAACAAAATGGATAAAATACTTAAACTTAATTTACTTCAAGAGATATAAAAATATTTGCCTGGAAAAAGTAAAATTACAAAAATACCGAACTCTTGCTTTCAGTTAGACAAGTTCAGAAGGTTAGCACCATTGGCGGAGGATACACCGGAAATAGTCCCTCGGGAGTTCATAGACCTGATCTCTAAACTGAAATTGACCGACTAATTGTATCAGCAATCGCACCTAATACGGTAAAAGTTTACCTACAAGCTTTACGGTCATTCAAAGATTTTGGGGCCTTATTCTAATTCGAAGATCTATGGCCTATTCCATTACATCACATAACTAACTATATTGCCTATATGTAATTCGCTGGAACTGCGGCCTCAAATGTCAAATCGTATATCGCTGGGTTGAGTTTTTTTCAGTAAGATTAACAATTATACTGACTGCTTTAATGCTTTTGTTGTCAGAAAGCTACTCGAAGGAATGAAGCGTTCTCAGCGTCGACCAAAGGATGCTAGATTACCCATAACGCGTGATTTATTGTCAAAAATTTATAACGTTCTACCTGCTGTTTGTAATAATGATTTTGAAACTAAACTCTTCCAAGATCCGTTTTCCTTTGCCTTTATTGGTTTCCTTAGAGTTGGCGAACTAACCGCTGACCAAAAACACGCCTCAACCCAATCCCATGCACTTGATAATAAAGACATTAAGATAAATCTATCCAGTATTGAAATCCGCTTACGTTCATCTAAGACTGACCAGTGCTGTACAGGAACTATAATTGTTATTGATGATAGGCCTGGTGCTGTTTGTGCAGTTTTCGCTTTACGTAATTACTTAAAAATTAGACCAAATGTCGCTGGTCAACTGTTTTGTCATTTTGATGGAACCCCTATCACTAGATACCAATTTTCAGGAGTCCTAAAAAAGTCACTGAATATTTTGGGTTTAAGTCAAGCAAAATATAGTTCTCATTCATTCAGAATAGGTGCTGCCACAAGCGCTGCCATGAATGGCTTATCTGATTCTGAAATTCAGGCCATGGGTAGGTGGAAGTCTGATTCATTTCGTTCATATATTCGAATACAACAATGTCTATAACTGTTAGATTTCTTTATAATTTTGTGTAATGAACTTGCAATCACTTTAGTGGGACTAACCGCTATTTAAGAATTGCAGGTTCACCAATTACAATTTGGATTGTTGGTTCCTCCTTGGTGAAAAATGCATTTGTTCAAGCTAGAACAAGACCAGGTGGCATTAATCTTGAACTAGATCAAAATGGTTTTCCGCTGTGGTGGTTGGGTAAAAGCGGAATGAGGCTTAATGATCTACTAGATAGGATCAAGCTGATGCTTAGATATGAGGAACCCCCAACTTATCTAGTATAACACATAGGGGATAATGATTTAGGAGAAATTAAGACAGGAGTGTTACGTAATAGACTAAAAAATTATTTGAAGAAAGTTTCAGAACTTTTACTGAATACCACATTGATATGGTCACAAATTTTGCTAAGACTCACTTGGCGTTAATCCGCTGATACTGAAGCAATGGATAAATCCAGGCAGAGAATAAACAGCTCGCTAGCAAGTTATATCATTCGCCAAGGGGGACATTACATACAATTCCGCGAGATATCTCCTAATTCTACATTTATATGTCAAGATGGTGTACATTTGACTGATATTGGTAACTACAATTTTCTAAACACAATTCAGGGCGCTAGAGGCCTTCCTTGTCTTCTCACCACATACTTTTCCCGAATGTAAATCATGAAATTGTATGAAATTCATTTGAATTCAGTTTTTATTAAATATCTATAGCTCTTCTATATCTTATATTATTATTGTATTTGGCACACAGCTTTTACGCAGCTTTATCCGCTTTGAATGGCGGTTGACCCGTCAGTCATTTATGAATGCCTTGGTCAATTTGGCACATTTCGCTGCGTTTACTTTAACTATTCGTCATTTTGTCGCATATTTCATTTAGCATCCAAAACATTTGATATTGGGGGTGTCTGTATCCCAGGACCCACCACACAAAAAATTATGAATCTCTGTATCCCAGGATTCATTTTATTTTATTGGATGCTTCATTTATTGTAAATATTTAGTTATCTAGTTAGTTATCTAGTTATCTGTTTGTAGTTTGCCAATATAAAAGGCGACTACGTTCATTTATCTATCTATCTAATTATCATTTTGCTATATATATGGCAGTCAGCAGGGTTTAAGAACATCAGTTGTTCGATCTGCTAGTCAAATGCGTTTTGTTAAAATATACTTTTTCACTCATTTGGTCTTTTGGAAAATGTTGTTTGTGCTGTATTTAGACTCCTCTACCAAGAAATTTGTTTTGCATGCACACGTATAAAAATTGCGGTTTTTATCCAACGCAATCATAGGTTTGAACGTTGTTTTCAATCTAGACTTGTTTATATTTTTTCGTTTGGGTTTGTATTATATTTGCCTTCGGGTTTATATGATCCGTTCATCCTATTTTGACTCTTTCCAAATTTAAGAGTCCATCCTAAATTGAGGTAAATTATATGGCCTTCCAAATACCGTTTCGATTCCTAACATCAGTGAAGAGACATTAATTGTCGAAATCCGGATATGGTGTACAAATTTTTGCAACTCATGTTTGCGGTATACCATCTTTTCCGCAAGTTTATTGTTTTCTATTTGGTAATAAATTAATAATAAGATCTATTTTGTTACATCTTGTGATCCGTTTATTTGGCAATCGCCAATGGCAGTCAGCAGGGTTTAAGAACATCAGTTGTTGGACCTGCTAGTCAAATGCGTTTTGTTAAAATATACTTTTTTACTCATTTGGTCTGTAGGAAAATGTTGTTTGTGCTGTATTTAGACCCCTCTACCAAGAAATTTGTTTTGCATGCACACGTATAAAAATTGCGGTTTTTATCCAAAGCAATCATTGGTTTAATATAAACAAGTCTAAATTGAAAACAACGTTCAAACCTATGATTGCGTTGGATAAAAACCGCAAAAGCATACGATAACCTAAAATAAACTGAGCAAAATAATAAAAGATAATATCGTCTAATTAGATGGCTGCTCCATTTAACACTCTCTAATATATCTTCTGGTTAACAATTTTGTGTACTCATGAAACGGTATGTTCTTATACATTTAATAACGAATTTATAAATTTGGAATTTTCATATTCAACTAAAATTTCAAAACATTATATTTCAAGATGAGAAAACGAGATAATAGGTTCATTTCAAACGTTTTCCTATTCATTGGCAATATTTACATTATAATTCTGGAGAGGCTTAACATGATCATTATTGATTTGAAAGGTTCTATCTTCTCCACACCTCCTCCAACGATATCAATCGTCGACTGAAGGTCCACCTTTAAAGAGGTTCTGTCAGTTACTGAATGCTTGTCTTTGTTCCCTAAAATAAAAAAAACAAACCAAAACAAAACAAAAAGTAAATAAATTGACATTTATGTCAGTACATAATGCCCTTGTTTAGAAAAGCTAGTAATTGGTAAAGGAAACAAAAATACATGGTGAAGGTAAGTAAATTTGTTTAACGAGTACATACTTTGCAATACAACATTAATGTACAAATGCAAAATCACGATCATTATAAGGAATGTAACGATTAAACACAAATAAAAATACAGGACACAACAGAATAAATCAAAGTAGCTATCTCATTTCCATACCGAATTCATTGTTTTTCAATAAATCTGTTGGTTGTATGCAAAATATACATAAAAAAAAACAATCGGCCTTCAATAAATTGATACAGAAAATGTAATTAACAACATATATTTAATTTCTAATTTTCTGTTGTCGGGACAGCCACGTAATTCAATGACGGATTGGGCTATTACATTCTTTCCCGAGAAATTGTTTTGCCAGGCAAAATAGATAAAACTATTTTTATGAATAAGTTCGTTTCAAATTGTTCAAATTGTTGACAAAATCATCTGCTTAGCCTCGATATAAATGGTATGATACCAGAGAAAAAACCTAGGCCCCCTTTATATAGTTGATAGAAGATTGCTGCTTACAAGGAAGCTATTGAACTAAGAGTTTCTAGTGGTAGATTTGAAATCATCACTTCGAATTTTTTTGATATCAATTATATTTTAATATACTTATAAATTATTTACCAAGCGACTTGTATTTTATATACACTGAAACAATGCAATTGTTTCTTGTTTTATGCAACTTTAAAATTTTGATTTAACTTTGACAGTGATAACTTATGATTATATCTAGACTAGTGAGTTCTATTTACTTTATAATTAAGCCATTACAGTTGGGCGTGGTTATAACTGAAGGCAAAAGATTGATTGATTGATGTTTGAACGCCACTTTCAGCACGGTTGTGCTATTTCGAGGCGGTCAGTTTTTTTTATTGGTGTAGGAATGCTTTGAGATGGTATGTATGTTAAAAAATCCTAGTCAATTAAAAGAGGGACGAAAGATACCAGAGGGACAGCCAAACTCATAGATCGAAAACAAACTGACAACGCCATGGCCAAAAATAAAAAGACAAACAGACAAATAATAGTACAGATGACACAACATAGAAAACTAAAGACTAAGCAACACGAACCCCACCAAAAACTGGGGGTGATCTCAGGTGCTCCGGAAGGGTAAGCAGATCCTGCTCCACATGTGGCACCTGTCGTGTTGCTCATGTTATTACAAATCCGGTAAATAGTCTAATTCGGTAAGTCACATTCGTGAAAAGGGAAGGGTATTGTAGTAACGACATAAGGAACATATCCGATATCATCTGTGAAACGGTTATTCCATAACTGTCAACCAACTCGTGATGGCGTCCGTAAAATTTTAGAAAAGATGATTTCAATTTCACCATTTGGAACTCTTGGTTTAATAGCTTCCTTGTGAGCAGCAATCCTCTATCAAGGAAATCATGATAGGAAATACAAGCCCGGGAATATCGTATCAATTGGGAGATATATACTCCGTATGCAGTGCTGGAATGTTGGTACATAGAAATGGGAAGTTCACAATTGGGAAGCTGAAATCATCTCTTTTGTCGTAAAGTTTTGTTTTCAACCGACCCTCATTGTCAATTTCTAGATGTAAGTCAAGATATGAGGCAGACTTAACTGTATCTGTAGTATCCTTTATCTCTAGTTCGATGGGATAGATTCGTTCAACATAGTCACCAAATTTTGTATTATTTAGTGAGAGAACACCATCTATATAGCGGAACGTAAAGTTAAAGGATATTGCTAATTTCTTATCTTTCTTCCTAAGAAGTTCCTGTATGAAGTCAGCCTCATAATAATAAAGAAACAAGTCGGCAAGAAGAGGGGCACAATTGGTTCCCATTGGAATTCCGACAGTCTGTTGAAAAACACGTCCTCCAAACGTAACAAATATGTTGTCAATCAAGAAATCAAGCATCTTGATAATGTCAGTTTCAGTGAATTTTTTGTTTGAATCAGAGTGATTCTTTACAAAGAAGGATTTATCCCTCCCCAGGACAAGATACTTGTATCTACGTTCGCCATTCTTTTTAATGAAACAAAGTAATAACAACTCTTTCAATTTGTCTTTTAGTTTGGAATGGGGAATACTTGTGTAAAAGTGTAGAAAAGTCAAATGTTTTAATACTATTGCAAGATGAGAGAGTCTTAGATTGTATGTACTCTAAAAGATCTTTGGAATTTTTTAGTATCCACATCTGATTCACGCCACCTCTAGAATAGACAATTTCACAATAACTTTGGAGCCCGGCTTTGATTGCTGATAAAATAGATGTTAATAATTTAGAAAGAGGTTTCGTGGGCCACTTGAAAGACCCAGCAATATACCGTTGTTTGTAAGGACACTTATGTAGTTTAGGTATCCAATGCAGTGATGGAAGATCCAGTTCTGAATCTTTGGTTGAAATTCCAAAGGAACATAGAACAGACCTATGATTATCCAGGATTTCCTCTTTGGTAAGTGTCGTGAGGGTATATGTTGAGTTTCCAAATGAATTGTCAATACCTAATTCATTTATCAAGCAGTTTATGTAATGATATCTGCGGGGACAACAACATATTTGTCATGGAGGTAGGACAAGTGTTTTGCAACATTTGGGTCTTTAAAAATTGACGTGGCATGGGTATTGATAGACCCATTTAGTTTCTTAATTCGGATTTGTATTAACGACCTCATAACCTTAATCCATTCGGAAAGAGTATCTACGTCTTCTTTCTCGCGTTTAGCCCATTGCCTGGCATAATCCTCGACTGAATCCATCAGTATTTTGAAGTTGTATTTCCAATTGATGGATTAAGGCTCACGATATTTCGGACCTTTGGATAACAAATTTCTCAGGGAAGTGTTATTGACAATGTTGAGGTCATATTATTCCTGACTAGGTACAGGCATTTCCTTATGTAGAAATTGGTAGATCAAACCTGGTTTTATAGCTTACTAAACCTCTCAGTGTATGACAGTCAAATAGCATTCCCTTATATTGAAAACAATGTGTGAGCAAAAAAAAAAAAACAAAAAAAAACGACATAATAGGTAAAATTGACAAAAATAGGAGAACAGCAGTCAACATTGTGTAATAATCGTAATCATTATAAAAACAAATAATTATTTCAACAAGAAAAAAAAGGCACATAGACACTCTTTAGACAAAGTACATTAGCAAAAATGAAAGACAAAAATTCAAAAATGACGATAGCACAATAACACAATGGCGGGATACATAAATACCGAGCCACGCCATAAGTATATACCAACAATAGACATAACAATAACGGTTAAAAATATACAAAAACAAATAAAAAGAACACGATAACACGTAATAAAGATGATAAACAACGTCAGTACCTAGAATCTATACTTCAAGACCATCATGTATTATTTGTGAAGTTGATACTGAATATTTATCAACAAAGTCTTGTCTTCCGATGAACTTTTTTTTAGAAAAAGGACGAGACGTTCTTTGACATAATCCTGGTTCAACAACTTTCTGCTCAGACACTGATGACATTTTATAAAGTCTAGCTGCAAGCTCTTAAATACCGAATGGGTTGAGAAATGTATTTCCCATATGCAGGTGCAGTTGGTATAAGTATAAGTTGCTGCTAAGGTTGGGAAAATTTGTAATTTCAAAATTAAAACCGTCTCGTTTGTCATAGATTCTGGTACTGAGATAAGCACCTGTGTCAAATTCGAGGTATAAGTTTAAAAATGAGACAGAGGAGGCCGTATCTATTGTTTCTTTAATTTCTAGTTCAGGAGGATATATTAATGGAACTCAATAAGAAAAGCTTGGATTGTTAATGGAAAGAACATAATCAATATCACTGAAAAAGAAAGGCGAAAGATGCCAAAGGAACATTCAAACTTATAAGTAAAAAATAAACTGACAACGTCATGGGTAAAAAAGAAAAAAAGACCAACAGACAATCAACAGTACACAAATCACAACATAGAAAACTAAAGACTAAGCAACACGAACCCCACCAAAACCTGTGGGGATTCAGGTGCTCCGGAAGGGTAAGCAGATCCTGCTCCACATGTGGCAACCTTCGTGTTGCTCATGTTAGAACAAACCCGGTAATCAGTCTAATTCGTTAGGTCACATTCGAGGAAAAGGGGCGGAATTGTAGTTACGACGATCGGAACATATCCGCTATCATCTATGAAACGGATATTCCGTAATGGTTAACCAACTCGTGAGGGCGTCCGTATGTGAAATTAAATGATCTTTTCCTTAAAATATGCTCGAGGAAGAATTTTACGCGCCTATAAATCTAACAGGTATTTACTGCTTTCTTTTTCTAAGCATTCTTAATTCGTATAGCTGTTGCTTAAATTAAACCATTAATTTAATTTTCTAAATAACATTTCAGTTTTGATCTGTTCAAATTCTTTCCAATGAGATAGCTTGAGTATTTATATTAAATTGAAAAATCAACAAAGAAATGGTAATTTACCTCCTGTGACTGTCCCTCTTGCAAACATGATATAGTAGTCATTAGTCAGATCAAAAACCTTTGGGTCAGAGTTCGTGTTGCTTCTTGTCAATCCACATCCCAGAATGTTGCCACTGTAACTTCCCGAGGTACCTGTTAAACCATATGTCGACTATAATAAGATAGAATTAAAGAAATCGTTAAAAAAATAATTTTAGAAATATCAGCTTCATTTTATTAAAAGTTTCTTAAACTGTATCTCCTTTCAAAATTATCATATAATACTATCGTGTTACATACATCAGTTAATATGCTTACTATATTGATTCGGTTGCTGTCACTTTACTTTTACCCCCAGGCGTTTATTGCATTAGCTGTATTTGGTACAACTTTTCGGAATTTTCTGTTTTGTTTTAATGCTCTTTATATTCTTATCTTATTTTGGCCTTCCAATTTTTCTAATTAGAGCGCCATTGATGCGTCTTATGGAGAATAATCATGCGTCTTGATTGCCAAAATTAATCATACGCCTGGTATAATTGATGAGCTTTTTCATTCAGTATCCTATGAGTGATAGATTTTCATAGGTATGAAACGTTCACAAAATAATAACAACTTCATTGTTGTATTTTGTATAGATACCATGTTATTGACCGTATAATTTTTAATACTTTGAAATTACCACTTGACATAAAGATGAACATTTTTTTAAATTTCAAGATTATCTTCTTCTGCACACGTATTCCATTGCTGGTGTTTGTGTTATTTTTTGTGTGATGTTTGTTAACTATTCTTAATTTGTGTATATGTTCGGATTTTTTTATAATTTGGTTTAAAATACCTCTGATAGGAAATGAACAAATTAGATTCGGTATCCATTTGTACTACTTCTATCACATTATCAATGCCACGTTTGGTTTACAGCACGTCCCATATCTAGGAATATTTTCTATTTGTCGTCAAAAATCCATTCGATGAATGTTCTTGTGTTAAGGAAAGTGTTTTATGTATTTTAAAAAAATATGGAATTTTGTTCACTTGAGGAATAAGACCGCCACTATATTGTCGATGGTTACCCCTTATTATCTCCAAACCTCTTCAACCTATGATGATGTCTTATAACATTAGCATCTTCGTAATTTTTCTCTGACGATCACATTAATATTGTACACATTGTTATACCCTGTTTATTAATACTTTGATGGTTGGATAAAGCATTCTTTTCCTTATCAATAACAACTTAATTTTAGAAATAAATTGATAAAATGAATCGGATAAGTAACTTACATTTGATACAACAGTGTTTGTCCTTCCAGATGCTGCATTATAAGAATTCTCAATAATAAACGAAGTACCGGTACTTGTCATAAGGCAAGATGTCACACTGGTATCTTGTTACAACCAATAACATTTACATTTATAATAAACATAAAGCACACGCTTTAGGGACAACTTACTATTCAAGTTATACAAAATTGTAGAAGGAGAATTCAATTCCAATAAAAATTAATAAAGTAGTTAACAAAACAAAAACAAGTTTAAATTGTAGACAGAAAAAGTTGAAAATAATAATAATAACATAAACTGCAAGAATTTGCTCACCGTTGAAGGCCTTACTGTTGCTTTGAGCCAAAGAACAGCAATATAAGCGTTGTGACTTCGCTTTGTTTTCAACTTTTATGAGTTAATGTTATGGTTGCTTGATGTACCATATCCTTTTTTCATTAGGGGACAATAAATATGTCTCATAAAGTAATATATAATTAGGAGACAATGTTTAGGTGGAAACCTACTAGTTATTACAGCTTCAACAGAGACATCATTTTTACTAATGTTAAGCATAACCGGGTAGATATAAAGTAAAATCACAAAAATACTGAACTCCGAGGAAAATTCAAAAAGGAAAGTCCCTAATCAAATGGTAAAATCATAAGCCCAAACACATCAAACGAATGGACAACAACTGTCATATTCCTGACTTGGTACAGGCATTTTCAAATGTAGAAAATGGTGGATTGAACCTGGTTTTATAGCGCTAAACCTCACACTTGTATGACAGTCGCATCAAATTCCAATAATGCCGATTAACCCATAAAAACCGAGAGTATCTCGCTTTTTATGTATAAAAATTGATGGGGAATACATACAACAAGAATTATGCACAACAAAAATACTTATACGGGATATTGTCAACTGACAATTATAACATATTACCATTGATGATGACGTTGATAATCCAAAACCTGCCCATTGGTCAGCATTTGATGATAGATTGACTGTTATTGTAAAAGCAACATCCGATATCCCAGCCGTCCAGGTAAGTAAATATGTACAACCATGATTAACACAGTCTCCCCAGCATCCAATTGACGATCCACAACCACTGTCTTTAGAAAGGCCCTACACAATACAGGACGAACAAAATTAACACTGTGCCATTTAACTTAAAAAATTATGATACATAATGTCATGTCCCATTCTAGGTATGCTGATGATTCTTTAAAAGATATTACAAATATTTGTTTCCTTATCGAAAGTATATACAACTTGAAAAAATAATTTCCAAACAGTTCGCCTAAAGCAAAATGAATTTTACTTGATTCTACATATCAAGGTATTCAAAATTATGGCTTTGGTTAATCAATATGAAATAAAAACGATTTTCAGAGAATCATGAAATGCAAATTGTCCCCAGTTTCCATTACTACATTGTCTTAGACATTATGTTTTCCTTGTGATATAGTAAAACCGATAATAATTAAAGTTAAACTCGAAACTGCCCCAATATTTTAATAGGTCAAACATATATTTTTTTATTTCAAAACAACGTTATCTTTACAAAATTCCTTTTAACAACACTGATCAAATATATGACAAAATGACAGAAAAGAGGAATACCAAATTACGTTGAAAAAACCTAGATATTTTACAGCTTGTTCGTATGTTGTGTTGTAACACCATTGTCTTATATAAGGGGGATGGTTGAGCGCTCAAAAACATGGTTAACCCCGACACATTCTTAATGTGCCTGTCCCAAGTCAGGTGCCTTTAGTTCAGTGGGTGTCGTTGGTCCCTGTCTGTCATATTTGGTTTTCGTAAATTAATTTGTTATAAATAAGGCCGATGGTTTTCTCGCTTGAATAGTCTCACATTTTTCATGTCGGGGCCGTTTATAGCCGACTATACTGTATGGGTTTTTCTCATTGTTGAAGGCCGTACGACTTGCTTACATTCACTTCATTTGAACTATGGTGAGAAGGTGTCGCATTGGCAATCATACCGCATCTCCTTATATTATATAGACATGTATAGATTATAACATGTCCTTTTCCATATCGACACTTATGTCATCACGAGACTTCCATATCTGCTTTCGAACGATTGTACAGAAGAATTGGGTCAAAATTATCAAGGTCGAAAGTATTATCGAAGACATTGAACGAAAAATCACGAACACCTGATATGTGAACTTATATATTTGATGTGAACGACAAAACGAACACCGGTCAGTGATAATTAAATGATGATGATAATGGAAATATACTTTTCAATATAAGAACTTGAAAATATATTTTGTTCATTATATATTACGCCACTCTGCTTAAAATACAACACAAATAAATACGATCAACAGTTGCTTGTTTTGAGTACTTGTTGTTTGAACTTAATAAATTATTTTCGACAGCTTATATCCTAACAAAACGCAAATTATCTTGACGATTTACTTACATTTACAAGATAAACAGTATTCAACAAGAATGATATACCTATTACAAGGACAAAATAATTCATTTTGATTGCTGTCATAATGACTTCAATCTGAAAAACAAGGTTTTATTTGAATGATATAATTGTCACTAGTTTACAAAAACACATAGATTATAAAGATTAAAACTATTTCTTTATTATATCTGTTTGTTTTGTTCACACATTGTTATCAATATAATGGAATTTTATGCGACTGTCATACAAGTGGGAGGTTCAGCTAGCTATAAAACCAGGTTTTAATCCACCATTTTCTACATAAGGAAGTGCCTGTACAATGTCAGGAACTTGACAGTTGTTTTCCATTCGTTTGATGTGTTTGAGCTTTTGATTTAGCCATTTGATAAGGGACTTTCCGATTTGAATTTTCCTTGGAGTTCTGTTTTTTTTGTTATTTTACTTTTTATACATTTCAACCAACGTGTAAAAACAATTATGCATTCAAACCTATTAAAATGTCAGTAGGCCTAAAATATCAAATAATGATCTTATTTGTGTAAAACAGTGGAAGAACTGCTGTTCATACAAAAAAGAAGTAGAAAAGAAAAAAAAAAATAAACAAAACAAAAGCGAAAAGAATACTAAAAATAAAGTGGAGAGACAACACTTTGGCTATGTAGAATTGACGAACAGACAAATTAAGAACTATTCGGAAACTCGATCATGATTAGACTACACGAACCTGTCCGAGCAGATCTTGCTCATAGAGTGTCATCCGTCGTGTTACTCTTTTTCAACATTCTTGATGTAGTATACATGATAATAAGGTATCAAACTATAGCGAAATAGTTAATAAATGCTGTCTAAACCGTAGACATAATTACTTTAAGTTACTTATGATACACTTATAGTATCCATCATGAATAATGACCTTATATTTTACGGTGATGTTGTTTACCGAGCCCGGAAATTTTTATACAATCCGGGTAAACTTGTCAATCCTTTAGATAAACGTTTTCTAAAAGGTTACCAATTCAACACTGTAATTACATCTTTGAACATTGTTTTTATTGGTAGAAATATTTTTTTTGTGATCAGTAAATTAAAACCATACTAAATAGTATTGCTATACACATATACACTTTCATGGTACTACATCTGTCGATATCTATATCTGGCATTGCCCAGGGTCATGTTTTTCTCTGACTGTTAATGACGTCTTTACACTAAATCGATTGGATGTTGGATGTGCACTGATTGATCTTAGATACATGATTTCTTTTATTAGTTGTTACTGGCTTTGAACTAGCTGACAGTAACTGCAAGTACTCAAAGATCTGTACTTTGTGTCTTTTTTGTTGTTAGAGATGTATAATTACTCTGCCACGTCTGGTCTGTGTTTTTTGTTAGATGTGTTTCTACTTTGTATCGACCTGATGAGTTAAGCCATTTTCAACTGATTTTTATAGTTGGTTGTGCTGTAACACCACTGTCCTAGGTTAGGGAAGGGTTGAGCGTTCACAAACATGTTTAACCCTTGCCAAATTCTTTATGTTCCTATCCCAAGTCAGGAGCCTGTAGTTCAGTGCTTGTTGTTGGTTCATGTCTGTCATATTTGTTTTCGTAAATGTAAATTGTTTTGTTATAAATTAGGCTGTTACTATTCTCAATTGAATTGTTTCATACTTTAAATGTCGGGGCCTTTTATAGCCGATTATACGGTATTGATTTTTCTCATTGTTGAAGGCCGTACTGTTGCCTATAATTGCTTACATCCACTTCATTTGAACTTGGCAGGATAGTTGTCTCATTGGTAATCATACCACATCTCCTTATTTTTATATGATATAAGAGTTTGAAATAGAAAAAGATGTTTTTTTGTGACAAAGAGGTAGAAAAGACAGTTGCTGATTTTAACAGCATAGTCACTGAAAAATAAAATAGGACAATTCAACACGGAAAACGAAAGCAACAGTAACGCAAATCCCCTTAACAAAAATGGATTGCATTCATGTGATCTGAAAATGTAAGCAATTTCTGTTGTACGAGTGGCACCCGACATAATTGGTTAGTTCAGATAAAAACTCGATGAAAAAAAGCATCAAAGTGAATAGGCTTCTCTTTTGGTATGTCAGGCATGCGTTTCGTCTACATAACACTCACCAGAGGTGCTTCAATCAAAACTATTGAAAGGCATTATCATATCCGAAGGTTAATAGCATTAAAAACCAAAATTTCAAAAAAGTTTTGCTAAATACGGCTTAGCCAATTTATGCCTTGCGGATAAAACGAATTGACGAATTTATCCCGTAGACGCCTCGACCATCGGTATATGTAAATTGTTTCCATGCCATTTGGCTAGACTTATTTTTGCCTTAAACTCGATGCTGGTTGTAAAAAAGTTACTTACCTTAAGTTGCTAATCTAGATTATTTTAACGAATTAAAAATAAATACATGAACTAACTAACCATGAGATTACGGTCAAATAATGGCATTTAAATAGATTTTTTTCTATAACACAATGGTTAACACTTCATGACTTTGTTAAAAAACAAAAAATCCCATTTGTTTCTTTTTAACAAAAATAATAATACTTATTACGGAAAAAGGTCAGCGCCTTCTATAGAAAAAAGTCCTTTACAATATCTTGCACATGTGTTAGTACCGAACAATACTTATTTGTTCTGATGATATGTTGACAGTAAGCATCGAATTAGTATATTGACAATGCTACATACATTTGTGTATACGGTAGGTAGATCATTACATTATTATTATTAAGACGAGACATAATTCAAATAAACTTAACATTACTTATAGGTTAGACAATAGGTGGTCATGAATTATGAATATTTAAAATCCAAGGCGTAGCCAACGTTTTTAAATGTTCATAAAACATGACCAAGTATTGTCTGACCAATTGAAAACATATTCACATCTTCTAGTGATACTATAAAATTATCCTTTTCTATTGTAAAATTGAAACCTTAATATGAGTGCACTTTATATAATTAAATGTAAACATTGCTAATGGTCATTTCAACAGATTGGATGAAATAGCACTAAGATAGTTTTGTGAGGACAAGAAGAATAAAATGTTCAAAAATGGAGTTTTTTTTTGCTTGAGGTTAAATTTATAACTTATACATCTTGAATGTCTTCATTCGAAAAAACAGGCAATGTCATATAGATAACCTCGAAATTTGTATATTTTGTTATAATTATAAAACTTACAGAAAACAATAAAAGTTAAAATTACGATCGTTCCAGCATCATATACTTACTTTTTTATTGATGGATGTATTATTTTGTTTTTCAAAAATTACCTTTGCTTTATATAGATGTCAAAGTTCCAGATCTTTCTCAATATTACTAAAATAAAAATGTTTGGTACAGTTTAAGTTTTACTTGACGCATGACTTGATTTTAATGTTACTTTGAAAATGATTTTTTTCACTGTTATTCGAAATGGACATGTAAAGAACCAGAAACAGAATATAGATCTTGTAATAACTTGTAGCTAATCTCTTATTTACGAATGATGCCTAACGCGTAGACTCAATGATCCTCTATCATACTTAAAATGAAACATACATTAACCCATAAAAGTACAATAAATAGCTATTTCAATTGAAATTTAACCGACATTAAGTATGTTATTAAGATGTTACTTAATGTGGCGTTTAATGGATGTGTAGATCGGCTGTTTTTACTAAAAGTCTGGTAAAAATGTTGTATCTGAAACAACAAGCCCATAAAATATTTGTAAGTGTGCAATTGCAATATACAGTTTATTAATGTCTTTTTGTTGTTCATCTTTTTCCTTGAATCCTTAAAAATATTAAAAAAAAAATCATTTTCAGATGAATTTCAGGTGAACTTAACAAAAACAAATATTGTTATGTTTCAAGATTTTAATTATTTAAAAATTTAGATGTTATTTGAATAAATTTATTTTTAAAATTCACGTGAATTTTAGTAAAAAATTGTTATAAATTAGGCCGTTAGATTTCTCAATTGAATTGTTTCATATTTTTCATGTCTGGGCCTTTTATAGCCGACCATGCAGTATGGGTTTTCTCATTGTTGAAGGCCGTGCGGTTGCCTATAATTGCTTACATCCACTTCATTTGAACTTGGGTTGATAGTTGTCTCATTGTCAATCATACCAAATTTCCTTATTTTTATATTAGCAGAATGTCAATGGGAAAAAGTGAAATCAATGATATTCAAAATAAAAAAGAGATATGCAGCTATAATTTATACAACGAAATATTTGACAAATTTCATTAATGGAACGTTGTTAATATTCTTGGATGAAAATTATTTCTATGCAACCCTGTCCTGCTAAAGTTGCAAGGTTAACTCCTATGCACTATGTTTGGAGAGTATCCTCCCCTATGCAAGTAAAATAATTTGTAAGTGACCTGGCACTGTTAAACATTTCATTTTGGTTCAGTTACCGTCTATAATTCACAAACTTTATCCTTGCAAAACCTATACCTAATTTTATTGATAGTTGAATTGTAAGCGTGATATACTGGCCACTGAAGGTTAGGCAAACAACTACTAGTATCAAATTTTGATAAAGCATTCGAGCGGGGAACAATTATCGTGACTTTATTTTACCAAAAAGATAGAGGAGATATCAAGTCAATCAAAACCAATGGCCAAATAAAAACGAACAAGTCCATTATATTAGTAAAAAAAAACCGATAGAACGAAAGTCCACAAAATACAACACAGAAAAATACGATTGAGCAACGCGAACCTGAAGAAAAATCATGGATCCTCCACAATAGAAAACAATTTTTGCACCAATAGTATTCATCAACGGATCTGTATCAATGAGTGATCAGGGTGCATTGGCAGTAAGCACAAATGGAAAATAATACACCGTCTGGTTATTGCTTTCGGCCATCAAACGTTGATGTAGATTTTGAATTATTTAATATTGTAATGTTTCTATCTTTCTTCAACTTTGTATCTGATCTGATGATACTCCATCCTGACAAATACCGGTGGCTTACAAATATTGCATTTCTTGAACATATCTAAAAAGAATGAAATGAGATATATGTATGTGTAAGGTAATATAAATCGATTCTAAATTTTGTGTAAATGTTTGAAAATTGTAAAAAGCATATGATACCCAAAAAGAAACTAAGCAAAATATCTAAGATGACATTCCCGTGAAGATGGCTGCTCAATTAACATTTATTAAATTGATTTGATTGTTTTTCATTGATACTAAGGTAGCAAACCCAATCCTTATATAGATGCAGAAATGTGTGATTATGTACCAAATGTGTTTCTCTCCTAATTTTGAGTTTTTGCTGCTATCCAAAATCAAAGATGTGGCATATGGTTATCAAAATCATTTGATAATCCATGCAATTAGGGTCTCATCTATTACAGTCTTGAACATTAAAACTAATTATTAAACAAAACACACTGCTAAATTTTAGTGTTTGGTACAGGTTGGCTGTCACTGTGCAACACAGGATAACATAGAACCCTACGGGAAAAAGAGAGAACTCATTTTGTCAGAACACACTGTCAAACATCCAAACATACTATCCACAGTGATCTGTGTCCACACTTGTATAGATGCAATAAATATTCGCACGATAAGTGTTTTATTTTATTTAATTTTAATTCGATTGAATATTCTTCGATTTATACAAAATCGCACCTTCTCAGTTTTCCATTGAACAATGTTAAATTATCTAACTTGAGGGGAAAAATAATGCCACAGGTATCTCACCTGACTACACTTAACATGTTTTCAACCAACTTGATTATGATGCTAAAGAGTTATTTTTGTGCAATCATATCATATTTTCTTTCTCAACTATAGATGATAAACATTTATATCAAACGTGATTTTCTCACATTCCCGTCTCGACTTCAAATTCTTCTATAACTATTTATATGTATTATCTTATCTCTCCGGTGACTATAAGGGTACACAATGTTTCAGATCGGGCTAAATGTGATTTTCGTACTTGTACTCTTATCATTGAACAATTTGGTTTCATGCAAAACAAGTAAGGCTCAACTTAAACCCCTTGCTATTAGTAGAAACAAATACTCATCGTCATCTGCAAAAACCACATAATCTTCATTAGAAAGTACTTTGCAAAGTTTGAATTTCTTATGTGAACCAGAAGTTCACAACATATGCCACGGCAACATAGTTGTTTCGATTGTTTGAAATTACGAAAATCCTACGAATCATTCTGCAAATTGGATGTGGATATTGCAGGAACAAACCATAGATCATAGTATACTAATTTATATCTTTAAAGGAACATACTCTAGTATTAGAACCCTTCAAATAATGCATACAAACAGCTTTTCGGAAACGTCCTTGAACATTTAAACCAAATCATTCACAAATCCGAAAATTACTATCCACACCTAATGTGTCCATACTGATAAAAAACGAAAAATAAATATTTCTACTACAAAATTATGTTTTTATACAGCCAAAGCACAAGGGTTAGACCAGTTTGTTATAATCAAGTATGCGAGAAAAGTTTATTCTCATGCACACAATTTCATTATTTTGTTGTTAATTCCCGGAAATATGTTTTAACTTATAAATTAGATAGAAATAGAAAAGATTTTTCTTGGAAATGTTTTGTAAAGGTAGCTTAGAGGCATAAGTATAGGAATTAAATTTGTGTACAGGATACAACGGTTAACACGAATGATACACAATCAATTAGGAAAACGTAACGTCGAAATGTGGAAACACATTTTAACTATTTCACTTCTCGTGCTGTTGCATGCCAGTAAGTTTATAATGCTCTTTATTTACGGTCTAGAGGTCTAAATTGAAACAAACTTCTTTGCTAAAATTTATATCATTTGGTTTCTACTGGATAGTTGTTTCATCGGAAATCATACCACATCTTCTTATTTTTGTATTCTTAAAGCTACATGACTCTTATATTTGTTTTCGACGGCAAAAGATTAATATATCATTCAGAAGAATTAATAAAGAAATTATCAAGTGTTTTCTTTAACTTATTTCCTTATTACACTCATTGAATACAACACTTACAAACTTTCAAAAGCACTTTCTAACAGGCTTAAGATCACTGCAGATTAACTACTTCGATGAATCCTCAATTGAGGTCCCCTATTTACATTGATATACATGTAAATAATACCATAAACTATCCGACCAAATCTCATCAAACTTAATAATAAAAAAAGTGAGTGCGAGACTTTACAATTTTAAAGATTTTTGTATTTTTTGATGATTTCGTGGGATAACTTATATTCCTTCTATATGAGTTCTACTATATATTTAAATCTTATTATAATTATCTGCAACCATAAAAGAGACAACGGGACCTATGTTTTCAAGGACATAATAGTTAACACTTTATGACTTTGTTAAAAGACAAAACTATCCCATTTGTTTCTTTCTAAAAAAAAATAATAAAACGTATTACGGAAAAAGGTCAGAGCCTTCTATAGAAAAAAATCCTTTACAATATCTTGCGCATGTGTTAGTACTGAACAATACTTATTTGTTCTGATGATATGTTGACAGTAAGCATCGAAGTAGTATATTGACAATGCTACATACATTTGTGTACACGGTAGGTATATCATTACAATTATTAAAACGAGACATAATTCAAATAAACTTAACATTACTTATAGGTTAGACAATACGTGGTCATGAATTATGAAAATTTAAAGTCCAAGGCGTAGCCAACGTTTTTAAATGTTCATAAAACATGACCAAATATTGTCTGACCAATTTGGAACATAATCACAACTTCGAGTGAGACTAGAAAATTTTCCTTTTCTATTGTAAAATTGAAACCTTAATATGAGTGCACTTTATATAATTAAATGTAAACATGGCTAAAAACAGTGATGTAAATTATACATAACGGTCATTTCAACAGATTGAATGAAATAGCACTAAGATAGTTTTGTGAGGACAAGAAGGATAAATGTTTAAAAATGGAGTTTTTTTTTTTGCTTGAGGTTAAATATATAACTAATACATCTTAAATGTCTTCATTCGGTAAGCAAGCAATGTCATATAGATAAGCTCGAAATTTGTATATTTTGTTATAATTATAAAACTTACAGAAAACAATAAAAATTAGAATTACGATCGTTCCAACATCATATACTTACTTTTTTATTGATGGTTGTATTTTTGTTTCAAAAATTGCCTTTGTCTTATATATATGTCAGAGTTCCAGATCTTTCTCAATATTACTAAAAAAAATGTTTGGTACTGTTTAAGTTTTACTTGACACATGACTTGTTTTTTAATGTTACTTTGAAAATGATTTTTTTCACTGTTATTCGAAATGGACATGTAAAGAACCAGAAACAGAATATAGATCTTGTACAAACTTGTAACAAATCTCTTATTTACGAATGATGCCTAACGCGTAGACTCAATGATCCTCTATCATACTAAAAATGAGACATACATTAAGGCCGTACCTTGACTTATAATGGTTTACTTTTATAAATTGTAACTTTGATGGAGAGTTGTCTCATTGGCACTCATACCACATCTTCCTATATCTATTAACCCATAAAAAGTAAAATAAATAGCTATTTTAAATTGACATTTAACCGACATTAAGTATGTTATTAAGATGTTACTTAATTTGGCGTTTAATGGATGTGTAGACCGGCTGTTTTTACTAAAAGTCTGGTAAAAATGTTGTATTTGAAACAACAAGCCCATAACATATTTGTAAGTGAGAAATTACAATATACTAAAGAAACAGTTAAATATTAATGTCTTTTTGTTTTTCATCTTTTTCCTTAAATCCTTAGAAATATACAAAAAAAATAATTTTCACATGAATTTCAGGTGACCTTAACAAAAACAAAAATTGTTAGTTTTCAAGATTTTTATTATTTAAAAATTTAGATGTTATTTGAATAAATCTATTTTTAAAATTCAGGTGAATTTAAGTAAAAAAAAAATGTTATAAATTAAGCCGTTAGTTTTCTCAATTGAATTGTTTCATATTTTTCATGTCGGGGCCTTTTATAGCCGACCATACGGTGTGGGTTTTTCTCATTGTTGAAGGCCGTTCGATTGCCTATAATTGCTTACATCCACTTCATTTGAACTTTGGTGGATCGTTGTCTCATTGTCAATCATACCACATCTCCTTATTTTTATATTAGCAGAATGTTAATGGGAAAAAGTGAAATCAATGATTTTCTAAATAAAAAATTAAAGAGGTATGCTGCTATAATTTATACAACGAAATATTTGACAAATTTCATCAATGGAACGTTGTTAATATTCTTGGATGAAAATTATTTCTATGCAACCCTGCCCTGCTAAAGTTGCAAGGTTAAATCCTATGCGCTATGTTTTGAGAGTATCCTCCCCCTATGCAAGTAAAATAATCTGTTAGTGACCTGGCACTGTTAAACATTTCATTTTGGCACAGTTGCCGTCTATAATTCACAAACTTTATTCTTGCACAACCTATACCTAATTGTATTGCTAGTTGAATTGTAAACGTGATATACTGACCACTGAAGGTTAGGCAAACAAGTACTAGTAGCAAATTTTGATAAAGCATTCGAGCGGGGAACAATTATCGTGACTTTATTTTACCAAAAAGATAGAGGAGATATCAAGTCAATCAAAACCAATGGCCAAATAAAAACGGACAAGTCCATTATATTAGTAAAAAAAACCCGATAGAACGATAGTCCACAAAATACAACACTGAAAAATACGATTGAGCAACGCGAACCTCAAGAAAAATTATGGATCCTATACAATAGAAAACAATTTTTGCACCAATAGTATTCATCAACGGATCTGTATCAATGAGTGATCAGGGAGCATTGGCAGTAAGCACAAATGGAAAATAATACACCGTCTAGTTATTGCTTTCGGCCATCAAACATTGATGTAGATTTTGAATTATTTAATATTGTAATTTTCCTATCTTTCTTCAACTTTGTATCTGATCTGATGATAATCCATCCTGACAAATACCGGTGGCTTACAAATATTGCATTTCTTGAACATATCTAAAAAGAATGAAATGAGATGTCTTAAGCCAATGTATGTGTAAGGTAATATTAATGGATTCTATATTTTGTGTAAATGTTTGAAAATTGTAAAAAGCATATGATACCCAAAAAGAAACTAAGCAAAATATCTAAGATGACATTCCCGTGAAGATGGCTGCTCAATTAACATTTATTAAATTGATTTGATTGTTTTTCATTGATACTAAGGTAGCAAACCCAATCCTTATATAGATGCAGAAATGTGTGATTATGTACCAAATGTGTTTCTCTCCTAATTTTGAGTTTTTGCTGCTATCCAAAATCAAAGATGTGGCATATGGTTATCAAAATTATTTGATAATCCATGCAATTAGTGTCTCATCCATGACAGTCTTGAACATTAAAACTAATTATTAAACAAACCACACTGCTATTTTTTTAGTGTTTGGTACAGGTTGGCTGTCACTGTGCAACACAGGTTAACATAGAACCCTACGGGAAAAAGAGAGAACTCTTTTTGTCAGAACACACTGTCAAACATCCAAACATACTATCCACAGTGATCTGTGTCCACACTTGTATAAATGCATTAAATATTCATAAGTGTTTTATTTAATTTAATTTTAATTCGATTGAATATTCTTCGATTTATACAAAATTGCACCTTCTCAGTTTTCCATTGAACAATGTTAAATTATCTAACTTGAGGGGAAAAATAATGCCACAGGTATCTCACCTGACTACACTAAACATGTTTTCAACCACCTTGATTATGATGCTAAAGAGTTATTTTTGTGCAAACATATCATATTTTCTTTATCAACTATAGATGATAAACATTTATAAATATCAAACGTGATTTTCTCACATTCCCGTCTCGACTTCAAATTCTTCTATAACTATTTATATGTATTATCTTATCTCTCCGGTAACTATTAGTGTACACAATGTTTCTGATCGGGCTAAATGTGATTTTCGTACTTGTACTCTTATCATTGAACAATTTGGTATCATGCAAAACAGGTAAGGCTCAACTTAAACCCCTTGCTATTAGTAGGAACATATACTCATCGTCATCTGCAAAACCACGTAATCTTCATTAGAAAGTACTTTGCAAAGTTTGAATTACTTATGTGAACCAGAAGTTCAAAACATATGCCACGGCAACATAGTTGTTTCGATTGTTTGAAATTATGAAAATCGTAGGAATCATTCTGCAAATTTGATTTGGATATTGCAGGAACAAACCATAGATCATAGTATACTAATTTATATTTTTAAAGGAACATACTCTGGTGTTAGAACCCTTCAAATAATGCATACAAACAGCTTTTCGGAAACATTCTTGAACATTTAAACCAAATCATTCACAAATCCGAAAATTACTATTTACACCTAATGTGTCCATAACAAACGAAAAACAAATATTTCTACTACACAATTCTGTTTTTATACAGCCAAAGCACAAGGGTTAGACCAGTTTATTATAATCAAGTATGCGAGACAAGTTTTTTCTCATGCACACAATTTCATTATTTTGTTGTTAATATCACAACTACTAAATAACACGCAATTCCCGGAAATATGTTTTAACTAATAAATTAGATAGAAATAGAAAAGATTTTTCTTGGAAATGTTTTGTAAAGGTAGCTCAGAGGCATTAGTATGGTAATGTGTACAGGATACAAAAGTTAACACGATGATACACAATCAATTAGGAAAACGTAACGTCGAAATGTGGAAACATATTTTAACTATTTCACTTCTCGTGCTGTTGCATGCCAGTAAGTTTATTATGCTCTTTATATATAGTCTAAAGGTCAAAATTGAAACAAACTTCTTTTCTAAAATTTATATCATTTGGTTTCTGCTTGATAGTTTTTTCATCGGAAATCATACCACATCTTCTTATTTTTGTATTCTTACTGTTACATGTCTCTTGTATTTGTTTTCGACGGCAAAAGATTAAAAGAGGGACGAAAGATACCAGAGGGACAGTCAAACTCATAGATCGAAAACAAACGGACAACGCCATGGCCAAAAATAAAAAGACAAACAGACAAATAATAGTACAGATGACACAACATAGAAAACTAAAGACTAAGCAACACGAACCCCACCAAAAACTGGGGGTGATCTTAGGTGCTTCGGAAGGGTAAGCAGATCCTGCTCCACATGTGGCACCCGTCGTGTTGCTTATGGTATTACAAATCCGGTAAATAGTCTAATTCGGTAAGTCACATTCGTGAAAAGGGAAGGGTATTGTAGTTACGACATAAGGAACATATCCGATATCATCTGTGAAACGGTTATTCCATAACGGTCAACCAACTCGTGATGGCGTCCGTAAAATTTACGAAGGGATGATTTCAACTTCACCATTTGGAACTCTTGGCTTAATAGCTTCCTTGTGAGCAGCAATCCTCTGTCAAGGAAATCATGATAGGAAACACAAGCCCGGGAATATCGTATCAATTGGGAAATATATACTCCGTATGCAGGCGCTGCTGGAATGTTGCTACATAGAAATGGAAAGTTCACAATTGGGAAGCTTAAACCATCTCTTTTGTCGTAAAGTTTTGTTTTCAACCGACCCTCATTGTCAATTTCTAGATGTAAGTCAAGATATGAGGCAGACTTAATATATCATTTAGAAGAATAAATAAATAAATTATCAACTTATTTCCTTATTACACTCATTGATTACAACAAATACAAACTTTCAAAAGCACTTTCTAACAGGCTTAAGATCACTGCAGATTAACTACTTCGATGATTCCACCACTAAGGTCCCCTATATTCATTGATTTACATGTAAATAATACCATAAACTATCCGACCAAATCTCATCAAACTTATTAATAAGAAAAGTGAATGCGAAACTTTACAAAGTTAAAGATTTTTGTATTTTTGATGATTTCGTGGGATAACTAATATTCCTTCTATATGAGTTCTACTTTAAATTTAAATCTTATTATAATTATCTTCAACCATAAAAGAGACAACGGGACCTATGTTTTCAAGGACATTATGATGAATGATAGTTTTCATATATCTTCTTTGAAAATTTAATGGGCAATTTGTTTTATCTTGGCAAAGATCACTGAAAGAACTTCTACTTACGATTTCTCAGAAATACGAGTTTTTTTTTCATTACAGTATCACCTGAATAAATTTTAACGCTTTTATTGTTAAGTCGATTATGATTTAGAATTTAACCATTTAGAAAATCCTTTCGTTAATTTTTCAAGCAAATTTGACATAGCTATATTTTTCCTGCAAAATAATAAATCTGATATAATTATGATAATATCAAAGATAAAAATGGATTAGATAAAACTGAAAGGGACTTGTGCAAAAAATGACAATTAGACAATTTTTCCTATTAATTCATTAGAAATAATTATGTTTAAAGTTTAAAGACATTTGTTTTGTTACTCTTATCCCTCCTAGATATAAGGATTCAAAAAGAAGGAATATAAGAATATTCAAAATTTTCATTTCTATTTCAACTTTCATGTTTTTAATGTAAAATTCCGAGCTATGCTTGTTTTTTTTTCAATCTAACTTTTGTTCTAAATAAAAATTTAAAGAAGTCTAAATGTTCAAGTCTTTAGTTCACAAGTACATTTTGCTTTTATCAATATTTAGATTAAGATGCATAATTTCTTTTAAATTCAACATCAATAGAACTGCTGTATTCCTCAAAGAAGGGAAGTGATAAGAAGTTGTTGTTTTTTTTCTTTTGATACGACTTCCTATTCGATCTGTCCGAATTAATGTATTGCTGTGAGTTAAAATTTCCAAGAGAGGATAAAGGAGATAATCATCTTATACATCAATATGGTCTACATATTGCAGTATGCATTTTTACCTTTATTGTGTGATACACATATTAATAACTCCACACTCTATATTTCGAAAAAGTATAAACTTACTCAGTTTTTCATTATCAAAATATGTTGCAGTTGTATCATGCTGCACGCAGCTTAACACTTATATTTTATTAAATACAACGGAAAATTACATTCAAATAAGACATGATATTTTGAACCCCCACGACTATTCGTATACTTTCCTTAAAAAGTAAAATAACAAAAAACAAAAAAACAGAACTCCAAGGAAAATTCAAAACGGAAAGTCCTCTATCAAATAGTAAAACCAAAAGCTCGAAAGGTTACTACAGCTGTGAATACGAAGAAAAAATAATTTTTTGAGATAAACTGAAATAAAACAGCTATCTTATTACAAAAAGAATACAAAAAAGAAAACAAAAGGTGCACACATTTCCATTTTGTTTTTGCAGTTCGAGCTAATTCTTTCTCGTTCTCCCCCTACTATGCTAACCACATGGTATTACAGAGGGGACCCAAAGGGGCGTCAATCTGGGGACATTCAACTGTACATGGAGATAAAGTACAACTATACGTCAACGATATCCTTTCTGGTAGTACAACTGTAGATTCTAGTGGAATATGGCAGTCAAAAGTGGTCAATCCCGGAAGTAATAAAGCCGCCGTAATTATGGCATCATCTAGCGTTGGAAATATTACTCTGAATGATGTTCTGTTTGGCGATGTTTGGCTGTGTTCAGGACAAAGTAACATGGAATTTAATGTTAACGGGGTTGGTAAACATTAATTCATGTGTTAAACATTATATTGTTTATCATGTTATTAGTGTAAATATTTCATGTTATTAGTGTAAATATTTCATGATATGAGCTGCGCCGGATAGAAATCGACCTTATGCAAGTTCACAAATACATGTACTTGTGTTAGACTTTGATCGATTTTGGAACATTCAAATACGAAATGAAAGATGCATATTGGTCTGTTTTGTAGGGTTATTATAAGAACTCAATTTTGAAACAGTTACAGACTTTGCATAGAGAAATTTTCAACTCGAAATAGGATAACAGATGTATTGATATTCAATTGCATAAGGTCGATTTCTAACCGACACAGCTCATATCTTGTGTAATATGACGCTTGACAATATCTTGATATGGTGATTGCTTTTATTTAATGAATGAAATCCCCTTTAAATGTGAAATTTTTATAAATGTCAAAGTAACATTGCCTCAGTCAATATTCCTAAAATATCTAAAAAAAAAAAGAAAAAAAAAGAAGATTACCCCCAAAAAACCCACAAGATACCGATATCGGACAAAACCATAAATACATGTTTGAATAAAATTACTTCAAAAACGAATTTTCTAAAATAGGTACTGAGGTACATAACATTAGAATAAATGTGTCGATGATTTCGATTGTTTTGGTTATGAGCGATGAACTGATGGAGGCTAATCCAGAAAAACGCTTCGAACGCACTTAGTTATTTGAAGTTTTATTTTTATGAATATTTCCAATTGTTTCGAGCAGCTAAATCTTTACATTTCTATGGCAATTGAAGAAGCTTCTTTTATTACGAAATGCATATTTATAATTTCCGAACAAGTTTTTTCTAATGTTAATACATTTATTTTTAAATGTGATAGTAATATATAACTAATTTTACAGAGAAAGGACATATTATCTTACCCACACGTTTAATTTCAGATGAATTTCTAAGTCACGCTCATGTGTAGTTAGTTAATTTGTTTCAATCAATGCTAACCTTGAACATTGGTTTGCAATTATATATTTTTGTTTACCATCAGCTCGCAAATAGTAGCGAAGAAATAAATGATGCAAGCAATTACCAGAATATAAGATTGTTCCATGTTGGACATCATACGACACTAACAGCAGATGGAGACCTTAACAGTATTGCAAAACCCTGGGCAAAACCAAATATTGGTAAGCTTTATGTATATTATATCATAATGCCTGCAAATCGAATTGACTTGGCTTGGATCACTATTCATTTTGACCCTCAATGCTATTCGCATTGAGCTAAGAGGGTCTAGAACGTGGGTAGGGTCTGTTTTAATACCTCTTCTCTATTCTTTATTTCTTGGCCCAATTTACTATATTCTTTGTTTTTAGTCCATTATTCTCAATTCTGTTATCCCTTCTATGAAAAGTTGATAAGAGTACAAAAGCCAAAAAAGTTTGTCCCGTAATCTTTTATGCATAGGTGTTAAAAAATATCAGGATATATAAAAGAGTGCAAAAAAATTCACAAAACAAGAATCTTGCATGACAGCAATGCAATCAAGAGTGGGGAAAAAACTTGTGTATCAGTGGGGTCAACTTAACTTATTTTGCAGTCGTTTGATATACTTCAAATAGTACACCTGCACATACAAAAATATAGTTTTCTTAATGTTTTCGTGTTTTACAGAAGATGTATTGGAACTTTCTCTAACTAATGGCACTGTTTCCATCTGGTTTTAATACCTGCGTTAGTCATTGATTTTAGTCAGGTGCGCGTGTACTCAACAAAACTACTGTTTATATCAATCAATCACTGACTCTGGTTAGGTTCGCGTGTACTCAACATCTGTGCTAAACACTGCCTGTAACTTATCTTTCATGTATTTAACAAAACTATTGGTACAAATGTACAATCAATGATTATAGCTGACTCTAGTAGGGTTCGTATTACTAATATTACGTGTACTCATCAAAATAATTGATACCAACATCAGTGTTAATAATTGGCTCTAGTGAAGTTCATGTAACTAGTCTTGCGTGTACTTAACCAAACTAATGATATTAACAACTGTATTAATCATTGACTCTAATTGGGTTGGTGTTACAAGTCTTTCGTGTACTCAACCAAACTATTGGTACCAACATCTGTTTTAAAAACTGTCTGTAACTAGTCATTTCTGTAATCAACAAAACAATTGGTTTTGTTAATCATTGGTATTCATTGGGAAAATGTCAAAATCTAAGTAAATAAAGTTGTTTTTCTATCAAACACTGGAACAATTTTCAAATATATGTTTTCACTATTTATCATATTGATAAGGGGATAATTCAAAGCATTTTAAATATCACATTATGTGATTCCAATATTGCTTCTTTTGTTGACTTGTATTACTTTGTAGATCTTTTTTTTCTCCGTTTGTATCTAATATCTGCTTTTTGAGTAAATATTAATCTATGCTGCAAAGCAATAAAACATTGTCTCCTTGGCTCTTTTCCTTATTGTTTTAAATTATATGTATTTGTATTCCTTCTAGGCTCATTGCCAAGTTTTTCTGCAGTATGCTGGTTATATGGAAAATATCTATCTACACACATTAACCGTCCAATAGGTTTGGTAGAATCTAATTGGGGAGGAACTAGAATTGAAGCCTGGTCTTCGCCAGATGCATTAAACGCATGTGCACGTACTGGGAGAAAACGGTATATATTTATTTGTTCATTGGTGTTTAAATGCTGTAATTCTGAATCGTATGGTCTTTTTATCTAAATATTTTAAGCTTGACTTTCAAATTGTTTGACTTTTACAATTGTTTCAGTAATTATGTACATTCATTTTGTCAAATTAGTTGTTAATAAGAAATAATTTTGGTTGTTGTAATTACAGTTTATTATTTCTAAAACAACCGTATTTAAAATAAAATCAAAGAAAATAACAATTGTAAAGTGATATTTTATATTCATAAAGGATAAGTGATGTATGTGTCAATGAAACAACATCCACATGACAAGTAAACAAAAGACATATAGAAGTTAGCCGACGGTATTATCTTCAACAACATACAAGTTTATATTGTTAAGTTGTCTTAGGAGTAGTGATACATCATAAAAAGTGCATTCTGCAATCTTTCAGCGTAGCACGTAATAAGAAAAAAATTGTGTGTGACAATAAACACAATTATAGGATAAGTATGATAATTAACGGTTTTATATTACTTTGTGTTGAACGCGTATTATGCGATGCTGTGAAACTTTGCGCTAATATAAAATATAAAACATTTAAAAGAAAAGTGAAGGAAGACATGTAAACGTACGATTATTCGTCTACATAATAACACTTATCTGTAGACCGAGTTTAATCAAACGATGTTTGCTAAATTTTCAACTAGATTCCAACCCCTCAAAATACAATTATGTGAAGAAAAAATATGTACTTGTGAGAAAAAACTCCATTGCGCATAAAAAGCCAAAATAAAAATTATGTATTGGTGGATTAAATTAATGAGTTTACTGTAAATAGCAGTTGTAATGTTGAGTTCTGGTCATTGGCAAGTTAAAATGACCTCTGGTCTGTCTAACAATACTATGAAAAACCAAAGATTTCAATAAATACAAAAACCCATGTTGATTATAAATACAATGATGTTTTTATAAAATAATTCTCTTCTTTAATAATATGCCTATGTAACTGTTTGCAAGAACGAGATTCGATCAATGGATTATAATTTGATTTGTTGAATTTTTACAGACGGGCTGTTAGTCCCAACACAATGTCTGCATTGTGGAATGGCATGATAAACCCACTCCTAAAAAATACTATTTATGGAGCTATTTGGTATCAAGGTTAGTAACATATATTCATATATTGCTTTTATCTATGTGTATGCATTATACATGTATATGTATCTGTTAAACTGCAGTCAAAATTGTAAAGGTGTGTATCCAGTTCTTGCAATTGAAATGTTGCATACATAAATATTTTGTATTTGGTTGTTGAATGAACATGGGAGAAAATTATCTTTATATTGAATCAGATGAAACTTCTTTTTTTTCCAAATTAGAACAACATATATCCATTTTTATTAGATAATGTTCAAAGGGAAATAAGTCTTACATATAAATTCATTGTCTCCTCTATTAACTTTTCTCTCTAGGCTATTCGTTGTTCTATTATGTTATATTTTATTATTTTATTGTCATAAAAAATCGTTGTAATCATTGTATGAAATTAAAAACCCGCAAGGGTCCACAATTGGTCAAATAAATAATTTCTGTATATAGTTAGGAAATAAGAATGATACCAATGTAGATAAAAAGTAGAAAAACGTAAGATATAAGATGTCACGGTAATATTAAAACCTAAGACGCAGGAAAAACATTTGAATACGAAAACAGCTCTTTGATACCAATCTAGTTGAAATGTTATAAAAACAGAATAAAAATAGAGCTAAATAAAGCAGATGTAAATACGAAGCAAAACACAAATGTTAATGTTAGAAGATTAGAATCCGTCGTTTTGATACAACGTACATTGTAATTAAACATAAATTCAAGTATCATTACAGTATTTGCACCATTTTCCCACCACACATTTGAGCTTATACCATCAGAATCATTTTATATTGAAATATATCAATATGCCAGCATTCGTTAACGACACAAGACAACTGTATTGTTTGCAATTACAATATATATATACTGTATGGATTTGCTAATTGGTGAAGGCGGCATGGTATCCCATAGTTGCTTACATCCATGTCATTTGAACTCTGGTGGAAAGTTGTCTCATGTATATTATAAAGAGACGTGGTAAGATTGACAATGAGATGAGACAATTTTCCACCCGAGTCTAAAGGACATAGATGTAAGCAACTATAGGTTACCATACGAACTTCAACACTGAGCAAACCCGTACCGTTGAGTCAGAAATAAAAAGCCCCGAAATGACAAAATGTGAAACGATTCACACGAGAAAACCAATGGCCTGATAAGGACAAAAAGGTATAACAAAAATACCGAACTACAAGGTAAAATTATTCAAAAAAGGGAAGTCCATAAAAACCAACGGATCGAATGAAAAACAACTGTCATGTCCCTGACTTGGTACAGGCATTTAAAAAAAAACCCCGAAATACAAATAAGACAGATATCAACCACCGACACTCACTGAATTGATGGCTCCTGTTATAGGATAGGTACATACATAATGTAGCGGTGTTAAACTAATAGATAACTTTTTATAATGACAGGAGAATCAAATGCGGGCAATTCTGATGGCTACAAATGCATGTTCCCAGCAATGATTGATGACTGGAGAAGTAAATTTTATGCAAATTCACTCCATACCACTGATCCAAAGTTTCCATTTGGATTTGTTCAAGTAAGACCCTTATGAAATGATTTTTGTTTACAGTAGAGTTTCATGCTTAACCTTTCAGTTTTGATTTTAATGGTGATTTCATTCTTATTTTACTTATAAGTAGCTTAAAAGTGAAACATATAACAAACGCAAATTTTAGAAAGAAAGTGAATAAAAGTTATACTTTGTGGCCTCACGTGAAAGAGTCTGAATTGGGGTCTTCAATTCTGTTTTCTTTAATTTTTAAAGGTTTTGTTTCCGTATCCTTTATAAATTTTGCCTATTATTCTCTTTTCTTTATATTTAAGCACCCCATTATTTTCTATTCTATATTTTTAACTACAAATGTATTTTCTATTTTTTGGCCCATTTTCTATAGCAATGGTCCAATATTATTCTCTATTCTGTAAAAATCATGCAGACCCGTATGAAAGTGAGGTCAAAAATAATTTAAGGTTTCAAAAAAGGAATTAATACAGTCAAAGCTCCGTGTTGAATACCGATAATGGTTTACTTTTATAAATTGTGACTTGGATGGCACTCATACCACATCTTCTTATATCTATTTGTACATTTGATGTCACCAATGTACGTTTCTAGCCTTGGGCACACATAAAAACTAGGATATATTGTTCAAGTGCTTTGCATAATTTTTCGTTAGGTGGATTTCATATTGTGATAAAAGTACATACAAGGTGTTTGAGTACACATCATAAGTAATACATCATTTTGATTGGCAGATGATAATCATATTGTGTTTCCTAGAAATGTTTTATATCACAATAAAACTCAAACTCAACATCCATGACTGCAAGTAGTTTCGATGATTCAACAATAATACGTAAGAAAATTAAAACGAAAACAAACAAAGGAAAAATTTGATTTTTGTAAACTCATCATAGATATTAAGGTAGATCAGGTGTCTTCCGCAATCGTGGATTGTAAAAAAGCAGAAAACAATCAGTCTATATTTTTAACGAAATGTGCAAATTTTGAGACAAGAATTTAACTAATTAGCAAGAATTTTTATCTAAATGAAAAAAAACCCTATTATATTTTTACGACTTGCACGTTTCTAGCCTTGGGCAGATATAAAAACTAACCGCTGTTTGGCTACAAAATATATCCTTGCTTTTCTAAGTGTTAACAAATAATTCATTTTTTCCATATATCCATCACCATTTATTTACTCAAGGACACAGTTTAATGCGTAAAAACAGTATCGCAGGTTGAATGCATATATCCATCACTTTTAATTCGTTGAAGGAAATGGTTTAAGTGCTTTGCATAATTTTTCGTTAGGTGGATTTTATATTGTGAAAAAAATGCAGAACAAAAAGGTGTTTGAGTACATAACATAGCTAGTACATCATTTCGATTGGCAGATGATAATCACATTGTGTTCTTAAGAAATGTTTTATATCACAATAAAACTCAAAATCCATGACTGCAAGTGGTCTCGATGATTCAAAAATAATACGTAAGAAAATTAAAACAAATACTAACAAAGGAAAATAATTGATTTTAATAAACTCATCATAGATATAAAGGTAGATCAGGTGTCTTCCGCCATCTTGGATTGTAAAAAAGTAGAAAACAATCGATCTAGATCTGTAATGAAATGTGCAAGTTTTGAGAAAAGAAATTTTCATCTAAATGAAAACAAAACTATTATATTTTTACGACTGTTTATTTTGTACAAATACTGAATATTTTTGTATGATTCAATTTTTATCATCTTTGTCATAAAAAGGTAACCAATTCGGACAAAATAACTTTCATAAAGGAATATGTTATGAATTTACCTTTTTAGCTTTGTAGCAAAAAACGAGTCCTGTGGCATCCATTTTTCGAAAGTATGTTTTAAGCGTTATCTTGTCATATTTTATATTAAAATTTTATCGTGTATATATAGTTTCTTCATATCACAAAAAGCTTGGTGTTACAATTATGTTTGAATTAGCCATTCTCACCACATATAAATTTCAGTCCACATTACAAGATAATCTAAATCTAAATGAATCGTCTAAAAAAGATGATTCAAAAGTGTTCACACATTTTCTTGACCATGCATACATGTATTGTTGGTATATACATGATTGTATAGAAGAGGGGCGAAAGATACTAGAGGGACATTCAAACTCATAACCGAAAATAAACTGACAACGCCATGGCTAAAAAAGAAAAAGACAAACAGACAAACAATAGTACACAAAACACAACATAGACTAAAGACTAAGCAACACGAACCCCACCAAAAACTGGGGGTGATCTCAGATGCTCCGTTAGGGTAAGCAGATCCTGCTCCACATGACGCACCGGTCGTATTGCTCATGTTAGTACAAACCCGGTAAATAGTCTAATTCGGTAGGTCACATTCGTCAAAAGGGAACGGGATTGTAGTAACGACATTAGGAATATATCCGCTATCATCTGTGAAACGGATATTTCATAACGGTCAACTAACTCGTGATGGCGTCCGTAAAATTAACGAAGGGATTATTTCAACCTCACCATTTGGAACTCCTGGTTTAATAGCTTCCTTGTGAGCAGCAACCTAGGTTTTTTTCCTAAAGATGACTAATAACTAATCTATTTAGATAAAGGTCTCTCTTAAAACTGAACAACACTAAGATATGATTCCCACAAATTTGTTTTTTAATTATGAATATAAAGCTAACATTTCTGCATGTCAAATAAAAAATAACAAAACTTAAGAATAAGTTACAGATTTATGTATGAATAATTTATGTACCTGAAATATTAAGATATAAATTTGTGAAATAAATATTTTTTTACAGTTTATATTAACATAATTTCATATCATTTACACAAAAAGTACATGTTATTGAAAAGTAATTAAGCATTACATGCTTTTGTTAATGTTATTATTTAAATTGCCATTATATGTAATTTAAGAAATGCTCAATTACACATTACATTTCATTACATGGAAAATTGTAATGCATTACACTTAATTACCATTACATTCTCAATTACCCCATCCCTTATTCGTGAAAATATTTTTTCCTATCTTGCATTTTCCAAGTTTGCGTTACATACAATGTGCGCAATCAGTTTTGAAAAGCTATATGTTTAAATTTTTTGTTAGGGGGAGGGGGGTTTGATACAGAAAAGACTTTACGCAAATAAGTATAAATGACAAATTTCAGGAACTTTATTAAATGTACTTACAGATAAAAACAATATGTAAAATATTACGACGGTGTAAAATTGATAACCTTTAAGAATAAGTTTATTCAATCGATCAATGAGTTTATATGGATTGTGTCCAAGTTTACGGGCTCTATAAACAACATCACAGTACAAATTAGGAATTAATATCGTGTTTTAATCAGGTACAGCCAAATCTTAGTAATTTAAAAGAATTTAGTAAAAGTTTAATTAATCTGTGGTAACGAAATCCCTGACTTAATAATAAACAAATCATAATTCATAAATTACGTTCATTGAAATCTAAAACGCGGCTAAAGACACCAGCATAGCGAACAAGTTATGAAATGTACACACCGTAAGAAAAAGCCAAAGGAAGATCACCTTCCACAAATGGAAAATTAACAATAGGGAACGAAATTATTTTTTCTTTTGTCGTAAAATCTTGTACAAAGTTTTCCTTGAGACACTGAAATGTCTAAATCTAGAAAAGGATTATATTTTTTTTTAAAACTAAGTTCCCTTTGGGAAATATCCGCAATAAAATTATTTAATATTAGAATACATTGCTCTATATACGTCAACTAGACAACAGTCATTCATGAACATTGATTATATTACTGATCAATTTAATGTAATTTAGTTTCAATTTGTTTGTTTAAAGTTGGCTGCTTGGCGGCAATCTGTGGCTAATTCTGGATTTCCGGCTTTACGATGGTCTCAGACGGCAAATAATGGACAAGTCCCGAATGCAAGACAACAGAACGTGTTTATGGCTGTATCAATGGATTTACCAGATTTTACCTCTCCTTTTGGCAGGTATGTAATCATTCATTGATTGATATTTGTTTGGTAACGTCCCATAACAAATTAACTAAATTGTCGAGCGCTCACAAATATGTTTAATCCCACCACATTCTTTATGTGCTTGTCCGGAGCAGGTAATTTTGCCGTAAGTTACTGCCTGTGATACTTTTTGGGGTCAGCGTTTTCTCATAAACCATGCTGTTGGTTTTTCTCGTTTGAATTGTTTCACAGTTTTTCATGTCGGGTGTGTTAAAGCTAACTAAACGGTATGGGTTTGGCTTATTGTTAAAGACCGTATGGTAACATATAGTTGCTTACATCCACGTCAATTTGGACTCTGTTGGATATTTGTCACATTGATAATCATACCACTCCCTTTATTCCATAAATCGTTTCATTGCTTAAAAATTATTTCTATTTATTTGTAAAATTTGTAATAGATAAAGAACTTACTGAAGGGTTGAGGAGAGGGTTGGAAATGATTCTCAAAATCACCCAAGTTATACTTTTAATAGGTTTGATTTAATGATCTGCAAAGGACAAATACAGTTTTTAACCTACAATTTTCATTTTAAAACATAGTTCTTCTGCAAAAAATAAATATGAACCACAGCCTCACCACAGAAAGTAATTAAATCACGTTATTTTTTTTGTACAAGACAATTTGCTCTAATATCAAAATAGTTTTTTTGGGGGGAGGGGGGTAAAAGAGTAGCGCAAATCTTAATATTAATATAAAGATTTAAAATGAGGCTTTTTTCAATTTTTTTCATTTTTCAATAAATGTAAGAAGTGTGAGGTCTTTCTGTTAAATATAAAATAACAAGAATACCGAACTCCATGGAAAGTTCAAAACGGAAAGTCCCTTATCAAATGGCAAAGGCAAAAGCTCAAACACATCAAACGAATAGAAAACAACTGTCATATTCCTTGGTACAGGCATTTCCTCATGTAGAAAAGTCTGATTAAACCTCGTTTTATAGCTAGCTAAACCTCTCACTTGGTTGACAGTCGCATACAATTCCATTATATTGACAACAATGTGTGAACAAAACAAACAGACATAATAGGTTAAAATGTCAAAAGTCTCGGTTATGCAGTCAACATTGTGTTATAATCTTAATCACTATAAAAACAAACATTTATTTCAGCCAAGAAAAACAAAATGGCATATAGACAAATCACATAAGCAAAAATGAACGACAAAAATACAAAAAAAAATACCATAGTTCAAAAACACAAAGGCGGGATGTATAAGTACCGAGCCACGCCAAAAGAATATTACCAAAAAGGGACTAAACAGTGAAGGTTTATAATATACAAAGAGTGTTAGATATAATTTCAAAATATAGATAATGATATGTGACAGACTTATGTCTTTTGAATATCTCGATACAAGGATGTTGTTTGTTAGATCTGAAATATTTTTTAAATCCAAGGTAGTCGTGTTTGGGGTGATTTTTGCGTCCATTGTTCATAACATAAAGAATCCTTGCAACAATTCCCTGAGGGGTCCATAGGTGGCCTTTTGGAAAGCAAAACCACTTCCCATCAACTAAACTCTTTTTTTTCAGTTGCAGTCTAACTATTCCGCCCTTCACAAATTTAGAAGAACCAATCGGTTTATTGTCCATTTGATCCAGTTTTAAAAAATAAAAATGCATAAAATTTTACAAATATTTGTTGCGTCCGAATAATTTATTTTATTTACCTACACCACGAACGCTCAAAACCAAGGAGAATGAAAGCCGGGGGTGCTTAAATACATTGTTCTTGAGGAGCTATAACACCAAAATGGATTAAATGTTGCTATTGCACGTTAAACAACTACGGTCTATCAATATATCATTGAATCAATCGGATTTAAGGTGCGAAACTTGTCATAGCTTCTCCATTGAGGAATCTATTTACTAGGACTGACAATAAACGTAATTCATAAAGGCATTTTTATACCCTGTTCAAGATTTCTATAAGAAAATACTTGGAAATTATGATTTATTTATTTGTCGTAATTGTCTTTGAACTAGCTGCAGTAATTTTAAACCAGTAGTTTTGCTGTACCAAGTTAGAAGCCTGTAAATCAGTGGTTGTCTATTGTTGCTGTGTCATTTTTGTTTTTTGTGTTAAGAGACGGAAGGACGGACGGTCAATGGTAACACTTAATGCCCCCGTCGCATACGGGGGCATTAAGTGTTACCATTGACCGTCCGTCCTTCCGTCTCTTCGTCCGTGCGTTCGTCCAATTTTCGTTTGTTTGAACCTTGAGAGGGGGAATTCGTGTCCTCAGACACATACTTCTTTTATTTTGGTTTAGTATAAAACAGGTCGTTAGTTTTCTCGTTTCAATGTTTCACTTTGTCATACTCGGGCCTTTTATAGCGTACTTCACGATAGGAGGTTTTCATACTGTCAAGTCCTTTGGAATCTCGTTGATAGTTCTATCTTACCATGATCGACCCACTGTGTTATGTTTCTTCAATGTCGGCAATAAAGTATGTTTGTATGAAAACTGAACATGGGATAACTTATAAAATAATGGGATTTAAAAAATATGGTTATCAAAATACTAGCATTAATGGATAATTGATTTGATTGTTGTATCCATAACGTCCGGTTGCAAGTACTAGTATTCCCTGTATACTCAGGACGAGAACGTATAATCAATAAATACAAGAAGTAGGCAAAAATTAGCCTGCCACTTGTTATTCTGAATAGTGGCGAACGTTTTGACTTACAACAAACCACATACAAACCCTGCAAAGTCAAGCGGATGCGCCACTCAATCAGGTGTTGTACTACCGGATAGGAGAAGTCTAGGTTACAATATTTCTATACTCCAGTCAACCCTTTAGCTTACCACTAATAGAGGGGAAACGTACATTTAAACGCGCGTCTTGCGCAAATACAAAATTTCAATCCTGGTATCTATGATTAGTGTATTTGACATGACCTAACACATTAAATCATGGATTAGAACTTTCTGAAGACATAAAATAATTTTATATTGTTTTTTTTACCACTATAGCATCCATCCTCGACTAAAACACGACATTGCTGCAAGATTAGTGTTGTCTGCGCTAGCAGTAGCTTATAAAGAGACTGGTGTTAGCTACCAAGGTCCATATCCAACCAAATTTACGCCACATCATAATACCAACACAATCATTATAGAGTATGACCATGGTTCTTCACCACTTGACATAAGGACCAGCGACAATTTTGAGGTCAGTAAAATATTGACTTATTTCTTTTGGAGAACGTAGTGGTCAAATCAGATATTTGCTTTGGATTCTAAATGGCAAATTAGATTAAATATTGGCATGATTTCAATTATCAAACAAAACCAACTTTTCACTATATATAACTAAAATGTTTTGGTAAAATGATACTATAGAAAAGAGAATTTATTCAAAGAAATATATTAAATTGCAAATTCTTTTAGCTTGATGTTATATATCAAATGATATTTTTGGGGTTTTTCTTCAGATATGCTGTACAACACGGAACCACGTATGTTCAAAACATGATGTTGGCTGGATATCTGCTCCAATGAAAAGTCATGACACATCAACTGTTACAATAAATACTTCCGGTTGTCAGCTTGGACAACATTCTATAGGCGGAGTTAGATATGCATGGAAAGAAAGTCCGTGTCCGTTTAAGCAATGTGCCGTCTATGGAGCAGGAAATGGATTACCTGGCCCACCATTCATATATTCAGCGCATTTGTAAATGCATTATTGTAAAAATAAAATAATACAATAAAAAATGAAAACAACATGTTAAATAATTTCATGCGTCTGAAGCGCTTTTCTTGATTTACCTTCATCAGGAACGCTCAAAGTCGAATATTTGAAAGTCGATGATGTATAAGAACCGAAACAGTTGACGAGCTATATGATAAAAAAAAACCCCTAAACATAGCCAAATCCATTTGCCTGAGGGCGTTGAAACCTCAATTTTTTTATAATTTCAAAATTTTTAAACGGACAATTTTAGAAAGGAAAAGTCTCTTAATAGCAAAATCAAAAGCTCAAACACATCAATCGAATGGAAAACAACTGTCATATTCCTGACTTGGTACTGGCATTTCCTTATGTAGAAAATGGTGTATTAAACCTGGATTTATAGCTAGCCAAACCTCTCCCTTGTATGACAGTCGCATAAAATTCCATTAAGTTCAGGGTAATTGGGCTAGGTTTCTTGATGTGGTTCACAAGTGTTTCTCGTTTCTCGTTTTTTTATATAGATTAGACCGTTGGTTTTCCCGTTTGAATGGTTTTACACTAGTAATTTTTGGGGCCCTTTATAGCTTGCTGTTCGGTGTGAGCCAAGGCTCAGTGTTGAAGACCGTACTTTGATCTATAATGGTTTAATTTTATAAATTTTGACTTTGATGGATGGTTGTCTCATTGACACTCATACCACAGATCTACGATTTTGGTGAAATTTTGCATACAACTATGCCTCGTTAAACTAAAACTGAAAATCGAAAGATTATTAATTGATCTCTTTTATTTTATGAAATATTAATGATTGACATCTTTCAAAACAGGTGAACATGTTTAGAAACATTTAGAAAGCACAAAAAAACGACGAATCACAATCTTGAATTTGTCTTGAAATCTTCAAATCTCCTATTGCAAATCAATATTTTTTTCTTTAAAAGTTATATATGTTGTTGATATATAAATTTGTATTTTAATGATATAAAATAATTTTATTGTCACATACTTTGTTTTGGTGTATTACCACATCTGTTACCTAGTTGGTAGTGATAAAACGTTTTTTGGTGGGGTTCGTGTTGCTTAGTCTTTAGTTTTCTATGTTGTGTCATCTGCACTATTATTTGTCTGTTTGTCTTTTTATTTTTGGCTATGGCGTTGTCAGTTTGTTTTCGATCTATGAGTTTGACTGTCCCTCTGGTATCTTTCGTCCCTCTTCTATAAAAGGCACTGAAAAGGAAAAATATGAAACAATACAATTGAGAAAACTAACGGCCTTATGTATAACAAAACAAATTACGAACAACAAATATAACAGACATGAACCAACAACAACCACTAAACTACAGGCTCCAGACTTGGGACAGGCACATAAAGAATGTGGCGGAATTAAACGTGTTTGAATACTTTGATCTATAAGGAATCATACGGACACACGTAACTCTGGGTAAATAGGGTAACGTCCTAATTCTCTTTATGTTACAATTTGGGGTCAACGCTTTAGATGGAAAACACGTTTACAAAATTTTAAATGAACACTTTTTACTAAGTCATTATTTCCAAATCCCCAAATTTCACAGCCGTACAAACTTCCTTTATTTATCAAACACATCTAAATTGACAGTTTATCGATAAACAGTGTTGTCTTCCGTCTTACAACTTCAGAATGGCTCTAGTAGTTTTATTTTACTGCTAGATGATTCTAGCTTGGTTTTCATGAGCTATTGTTAATAAAATATTTCTAAGATAACTAAATGCATTTAAATTTCTTTATCAGAATATCAAAATAAAAAATTAAAGAGTTGCAGCTTGTCGTTATGGAATAACCGTTTCACAGATGATATCGGATATGTTCCTTATGTCGTAACTACAATACCCTTCCCTTTTCACGAATTTGACCTACCGAATTAGACTATTTACCGGATTTGTAATAACATAAGCAACACGACGGGTGCCACATATGGAGCAGGATTTGCTTACCGTTCCGGAGCACCTGAGATCACCCCCAGTTTTTGGTGGGGTTCGTGTTGCTTAGTCTTTAGTTTTCTATGTTGTGTCATCTGTACTATTATTTGTCTGTTTGTCTTTTTATTTTTGGCCATGGCGTTGTCCGTTTGTTTTCGATCTATGAGTTTGACTGTCCCTCTGGTATTTTTCGTCCCTCTTTTGTCGGCTTGAACTACAAAAAAAAGTCAAAATTCTGGTATTAACTACATTTTATTCAAATTTCGATTCCTTAGTATTACAATATGATGTTTTTTGTAGTTGAAAAGATATAGACGAGTGACATTAACTATTAAGTTTTGTTTTTAATGCATCCACCTAACATACGGCTAAATCATATACTATTCGAAAGCACATCATATGTACTATCTTTTTTGCCCGGTCGTCAAATATTCGTATGGTGCAGTTTCCGTCAAATCACGATGAAAGGTCAGACAGACAATTTCTAATTTTACAAGAAGTCAGCATTTTTGCATATTGTGTCTTCTGAACAATTATATTTTGTATGGAAAAATGAAAATCTGTAAGAACAGATATTAATAGTTATTCATCAAAAGCACATTGAAATATTAATGTTAGAATTTTAATAAATAGCGCCGTTTTCAGAAATTCCAGTGCAAATGATAAAACTGCGTGAAAACCAAAATTTTTGTCTGTGATTCAATTGTTATTCACCATGAACCAAATAACATATTTTATTTAATGCTAAGGATGTTTTTGACATCATAAAATTACTGCAATTACGCTTTTTGTTAATTAAACAGCCAAATATAACAACAAACGCAGTTGCCCAAAATACCACCATCTGCAAAAAGATAGCCTTTTTAGTTGTTTTATGTTAAAACAAATTGTATGTAGTCAATATAAGGTTGAAAAACTGAAGTCTTAAAAGTGCAAAAAGGTTAAAGGATATAATACACAGGAAATTCATGCTTTAAGGGGAAAGTTTGGAAACAAAACTTTGATATTTCAATATTTACATGTTTTCTTGGTTGCTTATACTGCATGTTGCATTGACTAGGGAAGTGAAAGCTGGTATAAGCTAGCAACTGAAAATGTTCTTTCTTCATGCCTGGCCGAAGTATTTAATCCTATCAAACTGCGCAATTTCTTGTAAAAAAATTGAGACATGTTGCCATTATATTTACTTACATTTCTTTTTGATATCGAAATTCTAGCAATTAGCAATAACAATACTTACTCTATCTGAATAGTTAACATATTAGTACATTGTAATATAAAGATGACTGATTAGTTGTTGGTGTAATAACGCAATTTTAAGCACCATTTGGTTCCCAAGTATTTTGCGGCGATCATTTTTTAGTGGTGGAGGCCCACGGAGTGCCCAAGGAACCACCGACCTTCGGCAGGAAAACTGGGAATGCATGTCAACAATACATTAGTAATATTTATTAGTATCAAGGACGAAATACTGTGTAGGTGTCACAACAAAAAATCTACCAATCAGTAGCAATAGCATTTTGTAAAAGTAAACAACCTCTTACCAAGCAGTTTTGATATTAATGTTTTCTTCACCTTAATATTACAAATAAATGTGCTAAATAGAAACTGAAATATAAAGGCATTTTTCTATATTGGCCAGAGGTATAGGGGGAGAGTTGAGATCTGACTAAACATGTTTAACCCCGCCGCATCTTTTGCGCCTGTCTCAACTCAGGAGCCTCTGGCCTTTGTTAGTCTTGTATGATTTTAATTTTAAGTCATTTATATGTGTTGGAGTTTAGTATGACGTCCATTTTTCACTGAACTGAAGCCCGCCTCCGGTTGCGGGATTTTCTCGCTGTGTTTGCTGGCCTTCGGTTGTTTTCTGCTCTTTGACACATTCCCCATTTCCATTCTAAATTTTATTTGAACCACTTTTGTTTCAAATTAAATTGGCCATGGTTTTGCATTAGAATTTCAATGTAGATGTGCCACATAATATTTTCATTTAAGGCAGTCAGAAATACGAGCGCTATTTTAGTAGATCATCAGTCAAGCATTGATTGAACACTTGCATATTAAAGATAGTACATGTACATTAAGAATATATATATGGTTAAAATGAAGCTATTTTATTCTAAAATATTTATACAATTGTGGGAAATGAAAATTGGGGTTGAATTTATCCAGTTTTGTAATTGGTTTATGTCATCTAAACTCAAATATTTTTTTCTTGCAAAAAATCTCTTCGTATACAACCTCTATATGTGCACTTTTAAACTTTGAACTTCACTAAAATCTCATTACAAAGTTGTTTAGGCTAAATAAAGGCAACAGTAGTATACCGGTGTTCAAACTGATGGAAGAACAGAAAAAGAAAAAAGGACGTAAAGACAAGATGATTCCTACATTCCTACATTTCCGCTATATTAGAGAGAGAGAGAGAGAGAGAGAGAGAGAGAGAGAGAGAGAGATTTTGAGTTTTCCTTGGAGTTTGGTATTTTTGATGTTTTACTTTTTTTGTTATATCTTGCATCTATATGTGAGTTTTACGTTCTGTTGTCTTTTATTTGCTCAGCTTTGAACCATCTGGTTTTCTTTTCTTTGGTTGAAAGAAGGAACAAAAATAACAAGGAGACAGTCTCAAACAATAGTCAAAGAAAAACAGATGACAGCATGACCAAGGCAAAAAAGTAGGACAGACTAACAACACTCCTTAAAACACTTCACTGAACTGTGCGAACACTAGCCAGGAAGGGTATTCAATCTTCCACAATATTAATGTTCAGTCATATTTGATAAAGCAACTAATACAGTATATAATATTGGGCTAACATTAAAAGGAATTCGCCGGATTTGTTATTGAAAAGCGCATGGTACAAACAGTATTCCTTCGAATATTGAAAGAAAATTAACTTCGTAACATGTCTGTCGAAATCGAAAAACTATTTTTTACTAAATATACCTTGTTTGTTCCTTAAAGTACTTCTAGTGCCCTTTTTTTTTATATATGGTTAATCATTTTCTGCCGATATGGACAATATTATCTAGCCAAAAAAAAAGCAAAATGATCCATATTTGCAGATGGCGTTTTTTTAATGGCATCTGCAAAAGCTTCAGTAGAAGGCTGCATCCTGACCTATATTATATTAATTACAGTTTCAATGATGAAAACATTCCCTTGGCCTATAAACGATAAATCTATTCTATTTTTGACATATAAATATTCAAAACTCAGGAAAACTCTAGCTTTTATTGAAAGTCTATCATTTTTGGAAGTTTTTTACAAGAAATGCTATTTTCTGTAAATATTCCACAATCAACATTTTAGTTTGCATTTGATTTGGAATTGTGGTATTTTGTTTTATAAGATTCAGATAATTTTTAGAAAAAAATATCATAGAAGTACCAGAAAAGGGCATTTTTTTTTAATTCTTGCAAAATTTACGAATTTTCAATTTTGACCTTTGACCTTGATTTAACGACAATTGCACATACGAATTATTGACGACCGGGCCAAACAGAGAGTATAGATAATAAGCTTTCGAATGAAATATAATATAGCCGTATGTTAGGTGGGTGCATAAAAGTCGTTAACTAAGCGTCTTTTTTTAAATCTGTCACTCGCCTAATAAGAGTGCCGTGAGTGCAAACCATTATTAAGCATAGTTTTATGGCGCTATAGGTTAGGTTCTGTCAGATTATTTTACTGCGTTTTAATTTGATTATTATTACAGTAAAAATGTCTTTTAAGAAATAGTTATTTGAATTTCTATTGATGGTCAAAAACAAAAAGTATCTTTTTCATATCTATTTTATTCTAACTTTCTGACTGTAAATAGATAAATTTGAACAGTACATCTAACAAGATTTTGTTTTTTGAATTTTACAATTCGACAATCCTTTTACAAATGTTTTAGCCGAAGGCAATATTTATGGATAAAACAAAATCTTCATCATGTTCATAGCCTGGTCAATAAATATTCCTCATACATTATGGTTGATATGCAGACCACGTAAATGTTATAAACTGGTTTTCAATCAGATGATAGATTACTTACTTGCAATTGTTGTCTTTTTTACCAAGCTGGCAACTATTATAAATACAATCAAAACTTCGTAAAAGTCATCTTTCAACTGATATATATAAGGAATAGAAATAAAAATACTGGTAAGCCTATAATGACATTATTATTCGTTTTTGTTTTGAGCGTAGTTGAAAACGAATTTTGTAATCCCACTATTGTTGTTCTTATTTGTATTTTTACTGCTACTACTTATATGGTAACAATTTGTACATCTGTCAACTGAAATTACTTTAACTGTTGTTGTTTTTGTTTGTCTGTCGTTTACTACTTATACTGTTGTTTCTGTTGCTGTCTGTACTAATGTTAGTGTTGTTGTTTTTCTGCTTTTCCTGCTTTCCATGTTATTTTTTGTAAATGCATAAATTATTATTGATTTCTATATATTATTGTCATTTGATTTTGGTTCTTGTTCATTGTCCAGGGAATTATGTTCCTACGACGATACTAGTACAATAACTTGTCATTTGATTTTGGTTCTTGCTCAATGGCCAGGGAATTATGTTCCTACGACGATACTAGTCCAATAACTTGTCATTTGATTTTGGTTCTTGCTCAATGGCCAGGAAATTATGTTCCTACAACGATACTTTGCCAAAGTTCACACCTTGTATTCCGATCCGAAACCGTGGAGCAGTTAATGAAAAGTTTGTAACAGTGGGTAAGTAAAATATGGATCTGATTAGAACGGAGGAATTGTGCTCTATGGGATTGGAATCCACTATTACAAACTTTTCATTAATTGCTCTTCGGGATTCAGATCCCTCCGCGGTTCCGCATTTGGATACCCGGTATGAAGTCATGAATATCGTCAGTGGTTTTCTTTATTTATGATTTTGTCTTTTAAAACAAGGCAGTTTGCTGTTCGGTGTGAGCCAAGGCTCCGTGTTGAAGGCCGTACTTTGACCTATAATGGTTTACTTTTACAAACTGTGACTTGGATGGAGAGTTGTCTCATTAGAACTCATACCACATCTTCTTATATCTAGTTAGGTGATGTAGGCACATCTGTGATAGTTTCTGTTAGAATAATTTCATTTTTCAAATTTAGAGCAATTTTGAGCTTGACACAATTTATGGAAATTTGTTGGTTGTTGAATATCTAGGTTACATGCTCTCTATATGTCTATTAGTCTTTTTCAAAAACTTGTTTTTATGGTTTTGTTGGTATAGCATTGAAGTTTATCCTACATCTTTCTTTAATTTCATTCGTTTTGAACACCATGCTTGTCTTATATTCCCTTTAATTTTCCCATGTTATGTACTATTATATTATTTATTTATGCATTTCTCTGTGCTGAGTGTTCTTGCGTTTGTTTGTACTATATTCCTGTCTCGAAGTGTTGTCATTTTTGCGATATTTTTAAAAATTGCCATATTAGCGAGAGGTTTGGCTAGCCATAAAACCAGGTTCAACCCACCATTTTTTCTTTAAATGTCCTGTAGCAAGTCAGAAATATGGCAGTTGTTATCAAATAGTCCGTTTCTATGTATGTTGGCGTTTGTTTTTGTTGCAGTTCAGTGTTTCTGTTGTTCCGTTGTTTTCCTCTTATAGTTGATGTATTTCCCTCGGTTTTAGTTTGTAACCCGTATTTGTTTTCTCTTAATCGATTTATGACTTTTGAACAGCGGTATACTACTGTTGTCTTTATCATTCATATAGTAAACAAAAGATTAGTTTATATTGCAAGCAAACAATGCCTTATTTCAAATTGTCAATTTAGCAAAATTTGAACAGTATATGGAAATTTGATATAAAACCCAAAAGATACCAAGGAGACATTAAAATCTCATAAATCGAAGAGAAGTTGACAACGCCATGGCAAAATATGAAAAACTACGAAAGACGATAAGAAGATGAGGTATGATTGCCAATGAGACAACTTTTCACCAAAGTTTCAATGAAGTGGATGTAAGCAATTATAGGCAACCGTGCGGCCTTCAAAAATGAGAAAGCCCATACCGTATAGTCGGCTATAAAAGGCTCCAACATAAAAAGTCTACAAAACACTACCAAGAAAATTAAATACTCTATGAACTCCACCAAAAACCGACGAACTCAGTTGCTCCAGAAGGGTAGGTATATTCTGCTCCACGTGTGGTACCCGTCATCTTACTCGTGGTAGTTTTAGATTCGTTGATGTTACATTCGAGAAAAGGAGGACAGTATTTAGTTACGATATTTGAAACATATCCATGGTGATGTGTGACACAGATATGCCATAACGGTCAACCTACGCGTGATAACGTTCGTAAAACGTTCGGAGGGATGACTTAAACTTGACCACTTGGATCCCTTTGTTCTATAGCTTCTTTGTTAGCAGAACTCTTCACCAAGGAAATCATGATGACAAACACAAGCACTGGAATATCATGTAAAATTGGAGGTATATAATCCTTATGCATACATTTCTGGAATGTCGTTACATAGAAATGGAACGTTCACAATTGGGAAAATATAAATAATTGTCGCCAAGTTTGATATCAATTGGAAAGTGTCTTGAGAGTAAACAATTTATTTTAAACACTTTATAACACCGCAAAGGGATGCGAAAAGTAGTGCAAGGTCAGTGAGCTCAGAGGGAATTCATTTGACAAATCATTTGAAAGATAGATCCACTAAATCAAAATGAGCTAATTGTTACTCATACTTCAGAATCAATAACAGGAACGTACCCAATTAATAAATCGTTTTGAAAACGGTCTGAAAGCAACTTCATAAGCTTGATGTAGACATTCATTTAACACATGTTTTTTTAAATGAAATCAAATAATTTCAAGATCTTATGTATTTCTAATAATTAATATTTATAGAATTACTAGTTGGAGAATTCTAATACAGAAAAATATTCAACGAATGTTAATTCACGACTAATGTTGTTCGTCGCAAGTTGGATAGTTTTTACCAATATCAATGTACTTAAATATGAAGGAGTTTTCCTTTATAATCATTTAGATTACTATTTGATTTTTATTGCTTCAGGATAAACGCTGGTCAATGTTAAGATCAATGAGGTCAAATGGAATTCATTTGACAAATCATTTAAATATGATAGGTCCACTAAATCAAAATGTGCTATGGGTTACTCATACTTCAGAATCAATGACAGGAAAGTACTAAATTAAAAAAACTTTTTGGAGATGGTCTGATATGGTCATCATACGCTTTATGTAGATATTCATTTAACATTTAATTTCAAAATCTTATGTATTTATATATATAACATTTAATTTCAAAATCTTATGTATTCATATATATTAAAATATTCAATGAATGACCGAAAAACAAATTAATTCACGATTGATTATCAGTGTTGTTCGATCGGAAATTGAATATTTTGACAATATCAATGTACTTAAATATGCAGGAGCTTTCTTTAATAACCATTTAGATCATATTTTTTATTACTTCAGGGTAAACGCTGTGGATTTGAAGAAGTATGTGAAATCAGGACAGCTCCGTGTTTCTTCCCACCATGTCCTAATGTGACCTACTGTGCCCCAAGTAAGTACGAATTATAAATTTGAATACTATATTTTGGGTGCGGATCATTAAATGCAGTGACAGAGGGCAGATTTAAAAAAAATAAAATTTCCCATTCAACACAAACACCTGTATTATATATTAATCGAAAGAAGAAACCTTGCACTATAAGAATATGCAAATTGTAAAGAACAACTTTTGTAGACTGTGGTCAAAGGTCAACTTTACAATTTGTGAATATTTTTAAAATTCAAATTTTTACACTTTTTTTCTTTTGTCTAATTACAAACGATACTGTTTTTGCTTCAGTGATGTTTGTTTTTTTTTTACATAAATCTCATGAATAGATATATTTTTCTCAAAACAAATTATAGAAAGATGTTTTTTAAACAAAACTTCGAAAATCCAGTTAAATGTTTATATCGACATAACCTTATAAAGCATTGAAATTTCACTTAAAAAACAATTGTTATGAAAGACAATACTTCAAAATCATTTTTCAAACTAGCATAGTGCATGATGTATCAAACAAGACGCAAAAATACCCTACGGTCTATTGTAACCTCATATTCAATCTGCTGATACTTTTGTTTTTAAAGACTCTTTTCTTTTATTATTTTCATCGTACTGCTGCTATAAAACATTGTCTTCTGTTGAGTAGTTTACTTCGGTCAATGTCTATTTCATGATCAAGTTTACTCCCATTACCCCCTTTTTTTTCTTTTTAACGTACTACAGACTTTAAAAGCTACTCAATCGTGACCTCCAGCATCTTCTTGTCCGTCTATAGGTTTGCATGGCATACAAAATCGTACGCGTATCAGCTTCCTCGTCGGTGCTGTAAATCTCGACGCAGTCAATTACAGTTTTAGCACTAATGCGTTTGACCATTTGAGAATCGGAAAAAGTTCCAGCTAAAGCTAGTTCACTATCATTTGCTAGTGTTTTGTTGGTAAAAAACAATAAAATTCGCAAAAAAACTGGAGCAATGTTTGCTTATGTTCGTTGGGAGATAAAAAATTTTAATGACGTAATGTTTGATCTTTGGTCCTATTCCGCTGCCTTGATAGCATGTTTGACGTCATGTATGTTAGACATCAATAACAGAAGTAGTCCGAAAAACAGCGGAGCTGAGATTGGACGAACTAACTCAGGTCACCAAATGTTTTCAAATGTTTAGCATTATAGGTTGCACTTTTGTAAATATAGACAATGAAATTTCCCATAGGAACTCCTTTTACGGCTAAAACTGTACCACTTTTACTATGAAGTTTCGTACAAAATTATATCTTAGAATGGAAAGCTCATATGCATTACTGCTTTTTATAGATATAACTTTAAAAAAGAGGTCATGCAATACTTAATTTCTGTCTTATAAGACATGTTCACATCTCTGTGCCATGTACTTTTCAAATGATTTCCATAATTTGTTCTTTTGTTGTACTGTCACACCACTGTCCCAGGTAAGGGGAGGGTTAGGCGCCATCAAACATATTTGATCCCGCCACATTCTGTATGTGCCTGTCCCAAGTCAGGAGCCTGTAATTCAGTGGTTGTCGTTTGTTACATTATATTTTTCTCTTTTATTGTTTTGTACATAAATCAGGATGTTAAGTTTTCTCGTTTGTAAATTGTTTTATATTTATCAAGAGCGCCCTTTAATGACAACCGGAAACTTTTCGCGTCGTCCTTTTTTCGCGATTTCCGAACCAAATCTAAATTTGCTCAGTTTTGAATTTGCAATATCCCGGTGTCTTACATAAGTATTTTATAATAAATAATTTGGAAAGTTTACAAATGTCTTGAATCAAGTGATAAAATCAATCAGAAATGATTTTTGTCGGTTCATTAATGTAAAAGTAGTTTAAAGTTATTAGTCATGTTTGCTTTTTAAAACACATACACAATTAGCAAAGCAGAATGACATATTAGACTCATATTAATAATGAATTAAATGTTGTGAGGATTACTGCTAATTAATTAATCGATCTTTTAATCTGATTAGTCTGTGTAGCAGATATAACGAGGCATTTATTGTAAAACTGATTGACAGCTTTTAATTACATATTTAAAACAATTATTTTAGTAACGATATCCGTAATATCCGCTTGCTTGAGATGTCTTCCGTGTTAATTAGACTAATATGAGTTAAGTTGTAATCTCAGATTAATCGCTTTTCATTTAGAAATACATTTAAAGATACGATTTTCGGAATATAGATCTGTGGTGTATAAAACCGGTGTTCTGCAGTGTTCCTGTACATGTCCTATTCATATATTTAATAATATAATTCATATATATATATATAAGCATATTTTATTTCCAGCATGGGGATCTGCAAACAAGGGTGGTTCTTGTCCAGCAGTAGACTTCATCGGTTTTGGAACAATTCAGTGCTTTGGAGATTTCGGATGTGGTATAAGCAACAACGATGTGTGCTGTCATAATCGTTATACAAAAACCTCGTACTGCCACACACCATATACATTTTAATAAAAATAAACATCATATGTACTATATTGACTTTTATAGCTTGCTATTGCTTAGTGTTGAAGGCGTGCGGTGACCTATTATTGCTAACATCTACGTTTTTGGGACTCTGGTGGCTAGTTGTCTCTTTGAGAAGCAGACCACATCTCATATTTTATAATCAACAATATCTATGTTAGATAATGTCAAACAGTTATTTCTGTATTATTGATATTTTTTTCTATTTATCCACACATATTTCGGAAATATTATCTTAATTCCATAAGAGTAAGTCTTAACCGACTGAATCAAATGATCATGAAACTAAACATGTAAGGAATCGTCTCTTTACTTTTATTCATATATAATATTCAATAGAATTTTCCTAAAACAAAAATATAATACAGTCTAAGTAATGACGTCCAAAATAGGTTCATCTTCAACTGTGTACGACCACATTGCAGAGTTTTAATAATGATGATATAAAATGTATTTTTTACTTGTGCGGTAGTATCCCACCAATTAATGTAGCTTCCTAAGCTAGCTTACTTTAGTAGCACATTTAGACATGGCTTTCAAAATTATGTTCAAGGTATGGTGATCATCCTGTTTGTAGCAGCACTGTGCAGGGTTAAAGACACATAATGTACGGTCTAAATAGGAAAAGGGATAAAAGAAAAAAATAATGGTAGGGGAGAGTCGTGTTCAGCGCACGTAAACTGATTTTACCACAAAATATTTTCTGCCTGTACCAGTCGGCCTTTCTGGACCATGTTTTATGTTGTTTTTTTAAATGTCTGTTAATTAATAAAGAGGAGTTGAGTGTTGGTGGTTGATATGGTCAGTTGTAATGTCCAGTATTTTTGGTAATTCCTTTTATCCTTTTAATATATTCATATTGAGATACAAGTGACACTAAATAGGTGCCCTCAAAGTGTATCGGACGGACGAAAGGATAAACGGAAGGAGTGGTTACTGGGCCTGCTGTCGTCTGTTGCGATGTGGGTGAAAATAAATCAATTCACGAAACTAAAACGACCTCTTTCAACCAAACACACACACACACACACACACACACACACACACCTAAAACATGATAAATAAAAACAATGATAGATATTTCAATATTTGAAATCATCTGCCATTTCATCTGTGTACGGTATGAATATATCTGTTCACTATTCATCAAACGGAAGGAGTTGTTACTGGACCTGCTGTCGTCTGTTGCGATGTGGGTGAAAATAAAACAATTCACGAAACAAAACCACCTCTTCCAACCAAACATACACACACACTCACACAAATATCCACCTAAAACATGATAAATAAAAACAATGATAGATATTTCAATATTTAAAATCATCTGCCATTTCAAATGTGTACGGTATGAATATATCTGTTCACTATTCATCAAGTAAATATTAATTCTAATCAGAAAAAAATAATCGATAATATAGCCAAACTATCAACAAAAAGAAACAAAACACAGACTGTTATCTAAAGTCGATGTAAGGACCTATGATGACGGAGAAGTATTCGCGCTTTTGAAAATCACATAAACGCATCGAGTTGTAGTTAGACCAATTGAGAATACTAGACGTTAAATCAAAATCCTTGTTTTTACACTGTTCTAAACATAATTCAACATGAAAATCTCCGAAAGGTGATTTCTCATGGTCCTAAGTTTAGAGAACCCCAACACATCAATTGGAACCATAACTTCAAAATAATTATGGATTCTATTGAGTACTACACCAGAGCATGGGCTAAACGAGAAGAATTTGAACTGGACACTTTGTCAGAATGGGTCAAAACTATCAGGTCTTTGATAAAACGTCGCATTCATAAGTTGAAAAACTGTGTGAATGATCGACCAAAGTCCGTTTTCAGAGACAAAGAGGCCGTGAAATGTCTATCATCTCTTCATGATAAGTATGTTGTTGTTCCTGCAGACAAAGTTTCAAATAATATTGTCTTTGTATGTAAATCGTATTACTACGAATGTCTTGTAAAAGAATTAGGAATAAATGAGCACTCAGGTAATCCAATATACAAAGACATATCATTTAACAAGGATGAGATTTTGGCAAATCATAAGTCCTTCATGGCTTCAATGAACATTACATTGAACAACAAATCGGAGGACTTACCTTGTTTGTATTGGATACCTAAGCTTCACAAAATTCCGTACAAACAACGGTAGATTGCCGGCTCATCTGCATGTTCCAGTAAATAATTGTCCATTAGATAGACAACAATTCTGTCCGCAGTGAAAGAGGGTCTTCAGAAATACTGTGAAACTGTTTACTCGAGTAGTGGTATTAACCATATGTGGATTCTTAAAAATTCTAAAGAACTTCTGGATAATTTTAAATCTCGGTCTTTTTCTGAAATTAGTTCTAACAAAAACGTTTGATTTTTCAACCCTGTATACCACCATTCCCCATGTGAAATTATAATTTTGAAAATACTTTGAACGACAAAATTATTATATATTTCTTCCTGTGTGACGTTTACATTTTCTGGCGTCAAACACGCGACTCTACACTAAAAGAAGATGTGAATACAGTCACAGGACTTTAAATATTTCAGTCCCTTATGGGTTGATATATAATACATATATAAGTAAGCAATGAATGTGGTTGTTAAATTTGATAGATGCTTTTTGTGCTTCTTTGTTAAAAGTTTGTTTGTTTTGAGATTGTGACACAGTGATGACTGCTGTACCCATATTTTGACAATGTTTCCTTTTATGTCTGTTTTGTTCACGCATCGTTGTGAATATAATGGAATTTGATGCGACTGTCATACAAATGAGAGGTTTAGCGCTATAAAGCAAGGTTCAATCTACCATTTTCTACATAAGAAAATGCCTGTACCAAGTCAGGAATATGACAGTTGTTATCCATTCATTTGATGTGTTTGAGCTTTTGATTTTGCCATTATTATCACTTATATCTAGAAATTGACTATGACATGTATGAGGGTCGGTTGAAAACAAAAGATTACGATATAACAGATGATTTTAGCTATCCAATTGTGAACTTTTCATTTTTAAATCAAGAGTTCAAAATGGTGAAGTTGAAAACATCACTTCGTAAATTTTACGGACGCCATCACAAGTTTGTTGACCGTTATGGAATATCCGTTATACATATGATATCGGATATGTTCCTTATGTCGTAACTACAATTCCGTACCCTTTTCACGAATGTAACCTACCGAATTAGACTATTTACCGGCTTTGTAATAACTTGAGCAAAACGACGGATGACACATGTGGAGCAGGATCTGCTTACCCTTCCGGAGTACCTGAATTCACCCCCAGTTGATGGTGGGGCTCGTGTTGTTGTTGTATCCCTATTTTTGACATTTTGTTCACGAATCGTTGTCAATATAATGGACTTTGATGCGGCTGTCGTACAAGGTGAGAGGTTTAGCGCTATAAAACCAGGTTCAATCCACCATTTTCTACATTTTAAAATGCCTGTACCAAGTCAGGAATATGACAGTTGTTTTCCATTTGTTTGATGTGTTTTATCATTTGATTTTGCCATTTGATTAGGGACTTTCCGTTTTGAATTTTCCTCGGAGTTCAGTATTTTTGTGATTTTACTTTTTTCTGTTACAAAAAACGGGTCAATAATTTGAAAAAAAGGTATATGGTTTCATAGTTTTTCAGTCTCATGATTTTATGATATACCAAGTTCTTTTATGATAATTAAAAGAAGAACAAGTAGATTGAAAAAAAATGAAGGATATTGATTAAATGTACACACAAAGAACATATTTCTTTGCTTCTGTTTAAAACGAAAAAATGAAGGATATCTGCAATGTTAGTTTACAGAATCAGACAATAAAAGGAGAACAAAAACAGCCCCAACTTTCGAAATAAGCGACAGTCCTTGATTTTCTTTGATAATTAACTTTGAAGGAACATAATAAGAAATATCAATAACCTTACCAGAAAGCTCTAGACATAACGTAATGTAAATCAAGCACATTCAATTAGGACTTTTTGGAGTCTACATAATGTAGATGGTCCAAATATATCAATTTAACAAGCGCACTTTGATAGCCATTGAACCATGAAAATGAGATCAAGGTCAAATGATACCTGCAAGACAGATAGACGTGTATACCTAACAACCATTCCATACTCAAAATATGGCTGACCGTTTGCTTATAAAATATTAGAAGAGTACCAAATCATGAAAACCTTACATTGACAAATGAACCATGAAAATGAAGTCAAGGTCAGATGAAACCTGGCAAACTGACATGTACACCTTAAAAAAATTACATACACCAAAATAGTTAACTCATTGCTTATAGTACCTAAGAAACGGACCTGATCACTGAAATGAGGTTGAGATTATGTGAACTCTGTCAGACGGACATGTTAACCTTGAAAAGAACCTATATACCAAATAAAGCTAACATATTACTCATCATAAGTGAGAAATTCACATTAAAAAAACCTTAAAATTGTTTTCCAAGCAGACGATGAACCATGCATAAACATGAGGATAAGAACAATAGACATATAACAGCCAGAAACTTCCTAAGATAAGGCATCTGCATACAGGTATGAAGCATACAGGTATTCTACCCTCTGAAATATGTAGCGTTTTAGAAATAGTTTACGCCGTCGCCGTCTCCGAATAGTGTGTCTCGGATACTTAGACGTAAGCAACTTATGTCGCAGCCAAGAAAAAAATTGATATTTGCTGATCCTCCGCTAATCACGCATCATTAAGGTGTTAGTGCAGACTTTTCGGCTCGGAATAAGAAAACTGTGTCCGGGTCGCGTGACATATCTTTTTACAAAAAACTACCTTGTGAACCAGTACGTTAAAAATCTGACTCATCGTATCAGTGTTGTGCAAATATAAACCAGGATACATACTATGAGATACTGATATTTTCATTGTTGAAGGCCGTACGGTTGTCTATAATTGCTTACATCCACTTCATTTGAACTTTGATGGATAGTTGTCTCAATGGCAATCATACCACATCTCCTTATTTTTATGTTTTAAACAACGAT